TGCAGATATGGCACCTCTGAGAGGGTTTTGCCCGCTGCCTGACAGTCCAATTTCTTTCTGACTGGAGCTGGCTATCAGTGCAATAGGGATGTTTTTTTTCCTCCCGAACAAGCAAGCTAGTCGTGTGTTAGCTGCCCACCCTCTCCACGTGCCGTGTGTAAGCCCGCAGCGTATTCAGCCAGCCACCCTTTCCGAGTGCACAGATCTCCACACCTCCACAGCTCTTGAGGCTCAATGTCTTTTCTCTTCCCTTCCTAGTTGGTAGAGCTTCCACTCAGCCAGCCTCTGGTGGTCAGGGTGATGTTTGCTCTGTTTTCCAGTTGTAATTTTAAAATTGTTGTGGTAGGCTACATTTAGGTGTTTACCTTATGCCGCCATCTTGGTTTCCCCAGTTTGTTATTTTCTTGAAGATGAGAATCAAAGACTTTTGACTATAACCTTATCCTTACTAAAACAAACAAAACATTATTTTCAGAAAGAGTACATATGCTAACAAAATATAGATTTTTGATAATAATGAAGTTGTAGAAAGGATGTAATATACCACTTCATGGATAGTGTAAGACCTTAAAATAGTATGATTTCATTTCTCTCTACCTGGACTTTATGCTAGTGTTGTTATATACTTTATACGTTTGTTATAAATGCTAGACTCTATAGTCATTTGTATTGAAAGTATCTTCCATAGAGATTTAAATAAATAATAAGAAAATAATGTCTTATATTAAAGGCCCTTGGCTGTCATGCTGTAATGCCATCACGACCAAACAAGCAATGGCTCTCATGGCGGGTGGGGTGGGGCGGGGCGTGAGCTACCAGCAGTGGAGAACTATGAGAAGTGGAGACCAATGAGCAGTGGAGGGCGGGAGCTAGCTACTAGCGGCAATGGGCGGGGCTTCCAGCTGAGACAAGCGGAAGTGAGCTACTCATGCTCATGCATGATTTCATGCTTTTCACTATTTTTGGAGATCCAGATTTCTATCTGGTATCATTTACTTTCCACCTGAAGGACTTTCTTTACTATTTCTTATATTGTGGGTCTTCTGGTGATGAAATTTTTTATCTTTTGTATATCAGGAAAATTATTTTTTAAAAATATATATTTTATTGATTTTTTACAGAGAGGAAGGAAGAGAGATAGAGAGCCAGAAATGTCAATAAGAGAGAAACATCGACTGGCTGCCCCCCTGCACACCTCCCATCGGGGACGTGCCCGCAACCAATGTACATGCCCCTCACCGGAATCAAACCCGGGACCTTTCAGTCTGCAGACCAACGCTCTACCACTGAGCCAAATCGGTTTCAGCTTAGCTTATTTTTTTTTTTTTAAATCAATCTTTATTGTTCATATTGTTACAAAGGTTCCTCATTTCTTCCCCCCTCCACCAGGTTCCCACCCCATCCTCCGCCCCCTCCCCATCCCCCATTGTCCTCATTCATAGGTGCAGTTTATGTTCAGTCTCTTTCTCCCTCCCTTTCCCCGATAGTAAATCCCTTTTCAGATAGTAAATCAGTTACTTAGCATTTTCTCATATCAATAATACCACCACATGCCCAATGATACATTTCACACAAAAGACATTTCCAAATAGGTCAACCAGCCTCATCCAGGCCCCACCCAAGGCACTCACAGATCAACACCCCAGCGCTATAATAACTCAACACATTCAGATCTAAGCCTTCATCACTTGATTCAGCAGACCCTCAAGTTCCCACAAAAGTTTCCAGCCATGTCTGAGAGGCAGCCATGGGGCAGGGGCAAGCAAGGAGCGAGCTCTTCCGGGCCTGGCTGCTCCGGGCCTGGCCTCTGTTGCTCTGGTTCGTTCTACAACCAGCTGCTCCGTGTCTGGTCACCACTGCTCCCGACCTAGTTGCTCTGGACCTGGCTGCTGCTGCTCCGGGCCCGGCCGCTCCGGGCCCGGCCGCTCCCAGCCTGGCAGCTGCTGCTCCGGGCCTGGCCGCACCAGACCCGGCTGCTACGGGCCTGGCCGCTCCCAGCCTGGCAGCCGCTGCTCCGGGCCTGGCCACTCCCAGCCTGGCAGCCGCTGCTCCGGGCCTGGCCACACCAGACCCGGCTGCTACGGGCCTTGCCGCTCCCAGCCTGGCAGCCGCTGCTCCGGGCCTGGCCGCTCCCAGCCTGGCAGCCGCTGCTCCGGGCCTGGCCACACCAGATCCGGCTGCTCCGGGCCTGGCTGCTCCCAGCCTGGCAATCGCTTTAGCTTATTTTTTTAATAAATATATTCACTATGTATAGAATTCTAGGTTGACAATCCTTTTTTTCCTCTATATTTTAAAGATGTTGCCCACATTCTGTCCCTTATATTATTCCCAATGAAAAATATATTGTGATCTTTTTCCTGTGACTACTTTTAAGATTTCTCCTTATTGCTGGTTTGAACAATTTAAATATATAATAAAAGGCTAATATGCAAATTGACTGAACAGCGCAGTGACTGGTCTCTATGATGTGCACTGATCACCAGAGGCAGATGCTCAATGCAGGATCTGTCCCCTGGTGGTCATTGTTCCCACAGGGGGAGCATTGCTCAGCCAGAAGCTGGGCTCGTGGCCTGCGAATGCAAAGGCAGTGGAGGGAGCCTCTCCCGCCTCTGCAGCTGCTCTAAGGACAGCTGACTGCTGGCTGAGGTCCGCTCCCTGCAGTCAGTCAGATTCCCCTGAGGGCTCCTGGACTGCGAGAGGGCACAGGCCAGGCTGTTGGATGTTCCAAGTACAGTGGGCCTCTAGTATACCAATGTATATATTTTAATTGACTCCAGAGAGGAAAGGAGGAGAGAGAAATAGAAACATCAATGATGAGAGAGAATCATTGATTGGAAGCTTCCTACATGCCCTACACTGGGGATTGAGCCCACAACCTGGGCATGTGCCTTGACTGGGAATCAAATCATGACATCCTGGTTCCTAGGTTGACCCCCAACCACTGAGCCACACAGGCTGGGCTGGTTTAAGTAATTTAGTTATTATATGCCTTGGTGTTTTTTCTGTCATTTTTTTTGTTCTTGGAGTTCTTTATTTGTAGGTTTGTGTCTTTTATCAAGTTTAGGGAGTATTCAACAGCTGTTCTACAAATATTTTTTCTGCACCCATCTCTTTTTGAGACCGATGAGACAAATATTGATATTATCCAAAAGGTCCCTGAGGCTCTGTTCATTTTTTCAAAAAAATTTTGGTTGTTATTCTTGTTAATAATTCTTAATTGACTATTTTGTCATCTTTATTCTGCTATTGAGTCTACCCATGATGTTTTTATTTTATGTTTTTTTCTAAAATTTTCATGTTTTTTTTTATAGTTTGTATTTGTTTGCTGAGTGCTTTTATTATCCTGTTCAAGAGTGCTCACCTTTCCTTTTCTTAAGGAACATGGTTGTAATCATTGCTTCATAATTCCCACTTCTGATCATTTAGAGGTTGGCACCTGTTGATTATATTTTCCCATGACAATTGATCTGATTTTCCTGGTTCTTTGCATGTTGAGTAATTTTTTATTATATTCTGGAATTTTGAATATTATGATGTGATGCTCTGGTTTCTGTGAAAATACTCTGTAGAATATTAATTTTTCGGTAGTTCTTGTTCATTTTTTTTCAGCAGGGAGTCAACCACTCCTTTCGGTTCAAACCTCAATTCTGTCTTTCTTTCTGTAGGTGGTGATTGCAATGTTGGCTCAATCTCCAAGTCTTTGATTTGCTACTTTGGGTCTCTTCTGAATATGCTCAACTTGGAGTGAGCTTGGGATGTGTTTTTGGTCATTAACAATAATAGGGAATACCCTCTTCCCTCTGGCTTTCTTCTTTTTCCAGGATTTTTCTCACATCCACTTCTTCCTTATTGCTCCCTCTCCCTGTTCTTCTGACCAGGTAGATGATTTCCCTTGGAGAAACTGCCATGTGCTTCTGTGTGATTGGGACCACTTGTGGAGAAAAACAGCAATAGAAATAAAAGAGAGAGAGAGAGGGGGGGGGAGGGAGGGAGGGAGGGAGGGAGAGAGAGAGGAAAAAAAAAGCTTGCCCTCACAGTCTTTAGACCATATAGTACCTGTTTCCTAGGGACCCACAGGTTGAGAACTGCTAGCTGTGTCGCCTAAGACTATCGGAAACACAGATATTTACATTACGATTCATTAACAGTAGCAAAATTACAGTTATGTAGTAGCAACAAAAATAATTTTATGGTTGGGGGTCACCAAAACATTAGGAACTGTATTAAAGGGTCACAGCATTAGAAAGGCTGAGAACCACTGCTCTAGAGGGAGGGGGAGGCTTTCCTCAGGGTTCCGGTCACCATACTGCTGCAGCTCTGTGGATCAGAGAGAAAAAGGGAGTCAATTGGGATTCCCAGCTTCTTCTTGAAAGCTTCTCTTCCCCATTCTTTGTCTTGAGGTTTCTCTTGAGATTTTTATATTTATATCCTCTACACCCGTGGTCAGCAAACTGCGGCTCTTTGGTTCCTTGAGTATGGCTCTTCCACAAAATACCACGGGTTGGGCGAGTCTGTTTTGAAGAAGTGGCGTTAGAAGTTGTTTAAGTTTAAGAGATTTGGCTCTCAAAAGAAATTTCAATCGTTGTACTGTTAATATTTGGCTCTGTTGATTAAGGAGTTTGCCAACCACTGCTCTACACCGTTCCAGGTATTTCTCAGTTTTAACACCAAGCTATAGTGGAAGGTAAAAATTTAGGAAACTCTCCATGATTGTGGTTGTTTTTCATGTTTTGACGTCTCACCCCTATAGTTTTGTATTTTATCCAGAGTTCCTAGTGGTGATCAGTAGGAGAGGGGCTGTGGTGTGCTCACTCCCTCTTGGCGGGCACCAGAACTGTCAAATGGTGTTTATATTTGAGGGGCTCAGCTCCAGTCCCATATAAACTTACCTACATAGATTGACTTATTCCTCAGTGGTACTTTTTAAATTTTCTTCCAGGAAATAAAGATATTTTCAGGATTGGATTTATAAATTTTAATAAATGTTTTTTTGTTTCTAGTGCTTTATGTCAGAAGTCAAATGAAAAACCACTCAGATTGGCTGAGAAGAAAGAGTACAATGAGAAGAATGGCTGTGTAAAGTATGAATTTTTTTCTTGGCCTTAATTTCTTATTGAAATAATTATAAGCAGGAAGAATTTACATATGACTTTATTATAAATTTCAAATCTTTGTTCTCATTTAAAAAATATATATACAGTGGCTTTCTTAGGCTTTGAAGTTAGTTTTTTCTTTTATATAAGGTAGATTTTTCTGTTTAAAGTTCTCTCCCACTATAAATATACATTTCCTATCTCCCCTTCTTGAATTTCTTTGGTGAAGTGAACAATTTTATGAAACAAATTAGCTGTAGTTAATCTTTTGGGGCTGTTGATTTTATATGGGTTGGTGTTTGCTTCTTTCCGGTTTTGTTATGTTAAATAGATTATCACTGGTTCAAGAAACTGTTTAATTATTTGCAGTGTGGAACTGGGGGATCTTTTTATCTTTGCCCTGCCATATTTACAAAGTATTTACTTACAAGTTGTTTATAGTAGAGTAGTAACTTCATTTTATACTTGTTTAACACACAAAATATTTTCATACCTACTTTTAAGATTTCTTACAGTACCAGCCTATAAACACTCTCACAGCCCTGGCCAGTGTGGCTTAGTTGGTTGGAGGGTATCTTGTACACCTAAAGACCACAGGTTTGAATCCTAGTCTGGACACATTCCCAGGTTGCAGGTTTGTCCCCGATCAGGATACATATGGGAGGCAACCAATCTATATTGATGTTTCTCTCTTTCCCTCCCTCTCTCTCTAAAATCAATGCAAAAATAAAATTAAACCACTCTTACATTTCGAATACTGTGGCTGCTCTAAAACTACCAGAGTGACAAAGAGTTTAAGATAATTCAGAAATGGGTATAAGTCATGCTGTTCACTAATTTTCTTGAGATGACAGGGCAGAAGGTATTGACTGTGGAAGTCCTTCAGGCTCCCCAGCTTCCCAGAGGCCACCCTGTGGGATACAGTGTTGTCTCATGCAGCAGAAGCTCCTCAGAATGTTTCAAAGCCAGGAGCTCTGAAGGCAGCCATGGAGCCCGCAGATCTGGAGTGGCACTTGCATTGATATCCTCCTCACTAACACCTGAAATCTGTGGTGTCACAGTGGGTGATTTCCTTGGAACAAAACACCTTTCATTATCCATATAACTCATTTCTTTCTTTTATTGTATTACTTAGTAAATGACCTCTGAGATTGCTCCATTGAGATATGTTTTTGTACTAGAGACCCGGTGCACGAAATTCGTGCACAGGGGGCGTCTACTCAACCCAGCCTGCACCCTCTCCAATCTGGGAACCCTTGGGGGATGTCCTGATCCTGGGGATCAGGCCTAAACCTGCAGTCAGACATCCCTCTCACCACTGGCTCCTAATCGCTCACCTGCCTGCCTGCCTGCCTGCCTGGCCACCCCTTATTGTTCCCTCTGACAGCTTGGTTGCCCCCACCTGCTCCCCTTTACTGGACCGGTCACCCCTAACTGCCCCCTGCTGGCCCGGTCACCCCCAACTACCCCTTGTCGCCCCCAACTGCCCCCCCCCCGCCACCAGCCTAGTTCCCCCTCACTGCCTCCCCTGCCAGCCTAATCACCCCCAACTTCCCCCCCTGCCAGCCTGGTTGCCCCCAATTGCAACCCCCCTGCTGGCCTGGTTGCCCCTAACTGCCCTCCCTTGCTGACCTGGTCGCCTCCAACTGCCCCCCCTCCCCCCACCAGCCTGGTCACTCCTCACAGCCTGCGGTTCAGTCATTTGGTCATCCCTCACTAACCTCCCAGCTGACCTGGTCATAGGCAGCCATCTTGTGAGGATATGAGAGTCAATTTGCATATTACCTCTTTATCATATAGGATTAGAAGGTTGTATCTTACCTCCTGCTTGACTGAGTGCCCTTTACTTAGAACCCACTGATTATACTTTGTCACTCCACTGTGGGTTCCAGGGAGGTTGGAGGTGTTCAAGATAAAACAGCAAAGAAGGAAGGAGATGGTGGATATTTTAGAAACTCTGATGACCTGGGGATCACACAGTCTTTCTCCTTGTTTAGAGCAGATGGCCTGGGATTGGCAGTTCTGTGTCTACAGCCTGAGGCCCAGGGTGGGGCTGGGGGAAGTATGGGACTGCCTTGACCACAATGGCCTTTGTATCACAGTGAAGAGGCAAAACAGAACAAGTACCAAGTTTCCCCGAAAAATAAGACAGTGTCTTATATTAATTTTTGCTCCCAAAGATGCGCTAGGTCTTATTTTCAGGGGATGTCTTATTTTTCCATGAAGAAGAATACAGTACACATTTATTGTTAAATGAAAATAAAGAAAATTTATTACCTGTATACGGTACGGTAGTACGGTAGTTGTCAACACAAACCAGACAAACTGTGAATCCTACAGTATCAAGAATTTACTCATTTATTCAATGACAATCATGTCATCTTCTGGAACATCATCATAACAATCCAATTCCTGAATTTCTTGGTGAATTTCTTGTGACTCCATTTCTTTCAGAATCAGTGGACCAAATCTCTCATGTTTAGCCTGGGGGGGCCTTATTTTTGGGGGGATGCCTTATATTTCACTCAGAAGGAAACCTGTAAGTAAGTCTTATTTTCGGAGGATATCTTATTTTCGGGGAAACACCCCGACCATCGCAACTGAACAGATGACTGAACAGGCTGCAGGGGCAAACAGGCTGCATGGGGCGATCAGGCTGGCAGGGGGGTTAGTGAGGAGTGACCATACAACTGAGCAGCAGGTTGCATGGAGCGACCTGGCTGGTGGCGGGGGAGAGGGGTCAGTGAGGTGCAACCAGGCTGGCAGAGGTGGCAGTGAGGGATGACCAAGCTGGCTGGGAGGGGCAGTTGGGGGTGACCAGGCCGGCAGGGGAAGGAAGTTGGGGATGACCAGGCCAGCAGTGGGGGGAGTTAGGAGTGATCAGGCAGGAAGGCATGTGAGCAGTTAGGTCCCAGATTGTGAGAGGGATGTCCGAATGCCGGTTTAGGCCTTATCCTGCCTAAACTGGTAGTCGGACATCCCCCAAGGGGTCCTGGATTAGAGAGGGAGCAGACTGGGCTGAGAGAAATCCGCTCATGCATGAATTTCATTCACTGGCCTCTAGTAACTCAAGAAAAAAATACAATTTTTTCCCTTCATATTGTCTTTTTAACTATTTTACAGATTATTGCAGTTTCTAAATCCTGATCCTTTGAAAGCTGATGGAATTTCTGATCTGCAACAGGTATTACAACTTTAAAACAAAAGTGAAAAAAGAAAGAAAACTTTATTCTTTAAATTCCCCTTCTTCCTCTTTCTAAATTGAGATTAGAAGAGAAACCCCTTCAATTGGAGACTTTATCTAAAGACATTCTTTTATTTTTTATTTTTATTTTTATTTTTTTAAAATATATTTTATTGATTTTGTACAGAGAGGAAGGGATAGAGATAGAGAGTTAGAAACATCGATGAGAGAGAGTCATCGATCAGTTGCCTCTTGCACACCCCCTACTGGGGATATGCCCGCAACCAAGGTACATGCCCTTGACTTGAATCGAACCCGGGTCCCTTCAGTCCCCAAGCCGACGCTCTATCCATTGAGCTAAACCGGTCCCGGCAAGACATTCTTTTAGAAATTGTCTAGTGAATCAGTGCTTTAGAGAAATCGTTCTTTTCAGGTTTGGGGATACTAGAAGAGCTTTCATTTTGGTAGTTTTGGTGGTTTTAAAAAATATATATATACTGTATATTATTGATTTTTCACAGAGAGGAAGAGAGAGGGATAGAGAGTTAGAAACATCGATGAGAGAGAATCATCCATCAGCTGCCTCTTGCACACCCCCTACTGGGGATGTGCCCACAACCAAGGTATTGTACATGCCCTTGACCGGAATCGAACCCGGGACCTTTCAATTCGCAGGCTTACGCTCTATCCACTGAGCAAAACTGATCCTGGCGAGTTTTGGTGGTTTTTGATAAGCATGTACACCTAGGTTTTTACATTGAAATCAAACTCGTGTCTTTTCTCGTGTCCATAAAGTTCTTGGTGTTCTGTGCTGATGCCGCGGGGCAGACTGTCTGTCGTGTGTGTCCTCTAGTTGCAGAAGCTGAAGGCGGGTGCACAGCCGGCCTCTGCAGTGCTCCAGAACAAGATTGAACCTTGCTTGTCCATTGACACGGCGCCGCTCTCGGCAGACCTGAAAAAGGTAACCGTGCTCCTGAAACCGAACTCGAGGAGGAGTGCCGACCTGCCCGAAGGTGGAAGGATTTTTAATAAATGCTTCTACTGAACTTGCATTTGTATAATTTCTGCTTTTGAAATTCTCTTTTAAGCTTCTATTACTAATTTCTTATTTATTCTTAAGTCCAGGCTAACTTCTTACAGGTGACTAATTCTTTTATGGAGAAACCATGTGTAACTGTAAGTGCTTTTCTGAAATACGTTTTCAAAAGTGCCAGTGGAAAGGGACTTGGCAGAAATGAGTTGCCAGGACGATTATGATATACTTCTTAGCGAAGTTGCTTTATAGACCTTGGTTTTACATAGTAAATTGATCATACATGTTTATCTACTTTCTTCTTGACAAAAAAAAGTTTTAAAATATTTTTTAAAGGGATAAAACCCCGAGGGTGACTAGAATGAGAGCAAAGTCTTCAGCGGAGAAGAGTTTTCCACAGCTGCAGAGAGTGACTGACACCCCTGGGGGAGGAGTGACGTGGTGGGTCGGGAGCTTCCCCATCCTGTTTCTTAAACAGCCAGAGCCAGTTGCTCAGGAAGGAGAAGGAAGGGTCCGTGTGGAGAAACTGAATAGCCCTAGAGAATGACCTTCAGGTGATGCTGTTTGGAATTCTCCCACTAAAAACACCTGCTTGCTGCCCCGAGTTCCCACAGTGATGTGACTCGCACATGGTGCTGAGCTTTGCTCTGCCCACAGGTGAGCATCAGGGATGGTTAGATGTTTGAGGAAAGCCCTCACCCAAGGGAAAGAAGTAAGACCCAAGCAAACTGAAGAAAATAAACAATGTAGAGAATAGCAGAAAACATCAGAAAATAAATAACCTTAATAAGGTAATATTGTATGTATTTGACAATTACATAGCACCCCACACTTTTTATAGAAAAGGAACAGAGAATAAAAAAAAATAGGTTCTTAGAAACTCATACTATTGTAGAAATAAAAATCAATAGTTGATTTAAGAGATAAAAGCTAATAAACAAAGTAGAACAAAAGACAAGGAGATGGAAATAGGAAGGAAAAGAGAAATTAAGTGTCAACTAGAGGTCCAATATCTGCAATGAAATTTCCAGAAAGAAAGGGGGGAAAAGGGCAGAAAATTCTAACATCACACATGAATAATTTCTAGACTCAATGGATATGACTCTCTGAGTTAAGGGAGATTACCTACCACAGGCCCAGCACAACTGAGGAACAAGATAGTAGACGTTGTTTTGAAGCATCTAAACTGAAGGGATTCAGAGACCATGAAGGATTCCAGGGAGAAGAAACTGGTCCCACACACAGGATCAGGAATCGGAATGGCTTCAGGCTTCACTGTAACACCAGAGGAGCACTGACTTCAAAATTCTAATAAGTTATTTCTAACCTAGAGGCCTATCAACGAAGTGTGAGGGTAGAATGGAGACATTTTCAGATGTGCAAAGTCTCAAAGTTACTTCCTCTGCACCCTTTGTCAAGAAGCTACTGAAATATGTTTACCAACACAAGAAAGTAAAGAAGACAGCGTGTGCTGCAGACAAAGGGGGATGGTGCAAGGCGACCCCAGGACGGCAGTAGCACACCAGGTGCAGAGTGGAGTCAGCCCTGATTGCAGTGGGGCTCAGGGCCTGGGAGCAGGACTTCCTGGAGATAATGGTGCTAATGAGATCAGCCTTTTGGAAAATAGTATCAATGTGGCTGGAGAACTTGGGACATTTGGGAGGTTTTAGTAGCAGTCATATAGAAAATAAGCAAATAAAGGCATGTTTTTAAAAAGATTTACCAGTGAAGTTGATGCACCGGCAGATTTAGACAAGAAGCCACATCCTTATGCTGGAGAGTGTTAAGCACCTGGATGGTCAATTGGATTCTTTAATTTGGAGCCTAGAAAAGCAAGAATCTTCTAGCAGGACTTAGGCGCTAGAAAAGATTCAACGGGAAATGCCAGATTGAGCAGTGCATACTGTTATTGGGATACATGAGCAATGGATGGGTTTTCATTAGTTTATTGTGGTTTTTGATTATTGATGTTTTGTAGGCTCTTCAAAGAAATAAATTTCTGGGACCTAGCCACACTGAATCTTACTCGTGGCCTGCCATAGCACGTGGCTGTGATGTGGTTGTCATTTCTCAGTGTGGAAATGACCCCTTGCTGTACCTTCCACCAGTGCTTACGATTTTGCAAATAGGGGGCTGCTACAAGTCATTACCAAGTAGAAACGGAGTAAGTTGAAGACAATTTTGTTTCACAACAAAATTGATTAAATATTTATTTAAAAATTTACACCTACCTTTGGTAAAATTTAGGTTACATTATTCATTTGGTGTTCAAACTGTCAGGACAGAAACTGTCCTATGAGAAACTTTTACCACAGTCATCGCTTCTCACACTATTCTCACCTTTGACCCCCCAGTTGTGGGCCATCTGCTGAGTCAACAGAGACCAGCTTTTAGAGACAACTATATAAAAAGTATTTCCTGATTACTTTAGTTGGCCTGGCAACCCTATGAGATGGTCAGGCCATGTGTTCTTTTCACCAGTATTACAGAAGAGAAAATTAAATTAATGGGCAGTTACTGGTTTAATTTCTTAACAGCTGGCAAGTGTGACAAGTGAGCTTAGAATGTAGATTTTCTGTCATCTCGTATCATATTATTTTAAATATTTTCCCATAGCACCCCCACACTTTTACAAACCTTTATTTTTCCCATGTGTCAGAATCTGAAAATAGCTGAGAAAAGATGATAGCAAGGAGAGAAATGGGGTGTGAGGATCAAATATTTGACAGTGGGTAATGACATCTGCTTTGGTGGAATGGCCTTTGTCTCAGATCCTATCCCAAAGGACACCCTGGGAATTGTTCTGCCACTCAGTACAAGGTGAAAAATAGCAGTACGAAAAGACACTTTGGATTGCATTTCAGAAAAGATGACAGTTTACTTTTCAAATTATGCTAGGTAATGACCTTCCTTTGGCAATCTGCATTGGCTAAGTTATTATGTATTGATTTAATAAAACTAAATGGGTACATTTATATCTATCAGTTAGTAGCTGACCACGTTGATGAGATGCAGCTTGTGTGGAGATAGAACCCTGGCTGGGCAAGGAAAGGCTGTCCAGGTGTCTCTTGTGTCCACTCTTGTTTTCTCTGCATGTCCATGGTCAGCCCACTTTTAGGCCTGGCACCTGGAAGCTGGCACTCACCTGGATCTGTGTGAAGGAAAGTCTCAGCATCTCTTCAGTTAGATGAGGGCAGGTGTGCAGGAAGATGTTGGCAGGAGATATCTCTGGCATAGTGGAGGGCAGGTTCAGATGTTGCTATAAGAAACGCAGTCACCTAAGGAAGACATGGTAACCTTTTAAAGGCCCTTTCTAGGAAGCAGTTAGTTCTCCCTTGGGCTCAGGAGCAGGAGCTCTAGATCTAGGTTGCCTGGCTTCAAATCTTGTTGCTTCCATGGATTAGCTGTGCAGCCATGGGCACCTGACTTCCCCTCTGAGCCACAGACACCTGTGGAATGAGGCAGCACTAGGTTCTGTCCTGTAGGAGTGCTTTAAGGACTAAGTGAATTAATACTTGTGAAGTGCTTAGTTTAAGCCCCAGCAAAACCTGTCTTCAATCCTTTTTGATGAAATTATATTTTAACTTTTCTGACCTATGTGATGATGATAAAATTTATATAGTGCTTACTCTGGACAAAGAGTCTACATGCTTCACAGATAATGTGTTTGATTCCTAACTTTTGCCCAAAATTATGTGGATTTGTTTGTCTTTGCAGCCTCTGGCAGTCATCGTGTGCCCTGGGTGGAAAAAGGCCCAGTTTATTTTTGAGCTATTGGGAGACTATGGCGTGTCCTCCAGGCCACTTCATCCTATGTTATTAACAATTGGACTCCACAAAGATGAAGCCAAAAATATGAAGCTTCCAAGGGGGTGTAAGCATCCTTCCAAGCTGTTTGGTTTTCCCTACGGAGCACAGTGGAGCCCTGCCTAGCAGGCCTGGGAGCTGCAGGTGCCAGGGCTGTGTGATGCAGCTGATGGTCACTAGCTCAGGCCGCCCCTGTCAGTTACCGATGGGGATAGATGATGAAGGTTTATTTCTGTGAGAAAAAGAACTATGTGATTTCATTCATTTATGAACTATCTACTGAGCACCCCCTGTTAGATGCTGACTAAACGCTCCCTTTTAGTTGTGCAGAACGTGATGGGAGCCAGTTATTTAATCAGATAATGAACGAGGTTGTTAGCCGGGCAGGTAAACTTCTTGCCTCACCCACCTAAGTAAGAAAAACAGCTTTTTGTGTTGTTAGAAGGCATCTCTAGAAAGTATGTGGAATCTTAGGAAAGAAAATGTTAGAAAAACCTGTGGAAAATCTAAAATGTTAATTTTTTCTCTCTTGAAATATAGGTGATGTAATGGTTACAACACCGCATAGCCTCCTGAGATTTCTCAGATATCAAAGCTTGTTATTTCTTAGACTCTGTCACCTCATTTTGGATGAGGTGGAAGTATTATTCTCTGAAGCTAATGAACAAGTAAGTAAGCATCCATTTCGATGTTATTACTAAAATATATAAAATTAAAGTGTTCACTGTTTTTAGGACTCAAGAAGAGTGTCTATTTGTGGTAGAAGCTGGTTAATTTAAAAATTTTCTCTTTAATTTGTAGATTAAGGAGAGAGAATGTTTTTCTGAAATTTTCTTACTAGTGTTCTCTTTGAAAAGCAAAACTATAGAGGTTTTCAAAATTATTTAATATTTTTCTGATTATAAATTTTTTTTGTATTAGAAATTTTGAGAAATAGAGGAGAGCACTTGAAAACATCCATAACCTTACATTCAGGAAATCACTATTGTTGTTATTCTTGTAGTAGTTCTTTCTTTTTTGTAATTCCTCTGTCATAGGAATTAATAATATCACTACCTTTCTGAGGTCATTTGTAAGTTGCATTTTTTAGTAAATAGCATTGTATTGTTACTATTCTACAGTGTGATCGTTACTTGCTATATGGTATTGAATCCTATGGACATAAACATAATTTATTTTAATATTGTCTTATTTTTAGGTATTTAGCATTTTGTGTGTGTGTGTGTGTGTGTGTGTGTGTGTGTGTGTCTTCAGAACATAATACATCTTTTTAGCACATTTCCCATAGGGTAGATTCCTACAAAGGGGGTTGATGGATCAAGACATTTGTTGGAAGCAGTATAACATGATGACCAAGAGCAGTCATTTGGGAGCAGTGATGGCCTCAGGTTCAAGTCCAAGCTTTAGTTACCGACTCTGTCGGTCTGCACAGGGTTTCTGAATGCCTCTATAATCTCAATTCTCATTTGCAAAACTAATATCCAGAATACTGCTTTGCACAGTTGCCTTTCTGGAAGCGATTTACACTCCCTTAGGCAGTGTGCCGCCACGCTGCACGCCCTGCACCCCTGGCGGTGGGAGGCCTCATACCAGCTTTTGTGTAGCCTAACTTGTGATATGGCGTCTGATTAGTTCAATCTGTATTTCCTTAATTACTTGTTGAGCATGAATTCATACTGGCCATTTGTTCTCATTCTATGAATTGCTTATTATTTTCTGTTGGTGGGGTTGTCTTTTTTTAATCAGTTTGTAGAAGTTTTTGTATAAGAATGTTAATCCTTTGGTACATACGTTACATATATTTACCTGGATGTTAATGTTTTAATTTTGTTTGCACCTAGCATTTTTTCCTTTTTCGTTTTTTTTTTTTTTTTTTTTTTTTTACTTTTATGTTTGTAAAGGCCTTCCCACTTGAAAACAGAAAATATACAGTCCTTTACCTTTTAAATTCTGTCAAACTAATATCTTTTGAAATAAAAATGAAATTATACTTATTTTTTTTAGATGTTTGCTATATTAGATAACTTTAAAAAAAATATTGAAGTTGAAGAAAGGGAATCTGCACCATATCAAATTGTTGCAGTTGGAGTTCATTGGAACAGACATATACAACATTTAATCAAAGAGTTCATGAATGATCCCTACATTGTGATCACCGCCATGGAAGAGGCTGCTCTCTACGGCAATGTCCAACAGGTAATGAGTCATGGAGATGTGGTGGGGTGCTAATGAATGTGTCATGACTTAATATTACAAGACTAGAGGCCCGGTGCACGAAATTTGTGCATGGGTAGGGTCCCTGAGCCTGGCCGGCAATCAGGGCCGGTCGGGGCCTGCCTCCCCTGGCTGCTGGCCAGAACCTTCTTTCGTTTTGCACCGCACTCTGGTGATCAGCGCACATCATAGTGAGTGGTCGAACTCCTGAGGGGACAATTTACATATTAGCCTTTTATTATATAGGATTGTAGCTTTAATTCCATCAGCAAATCTGTAATTGGGAAGTTAAATTTATATTGGTTTCTTATACATCCTTTTCTATTAAAATCACAACTTGCCTAAGTAAAGTAAAACTGGAGCACTTTAAACATTTAAAAAATCACATTGTTTCTGTATTTCATTACTAGGTGGTACATCTTTGCCTAGAAAGTGAAAAAACCTCTACTTTACTCCAGACCCTTGACTTCATTCCAAGTCAGGCACAAAAGACCTTGATCTTCACCTGTTCTGTAGCTGAAACTGAAATAGTGTGTAAGGTGAGCCTTTCCACACAGAAAATGTTCTTGCTGTTTGTTTAAACTGTGATTGGATTTTGAGTCATCAGAAGAATTATAGAGCAAATATTCGACAGAGGAGTAAAATTTTACAAGTTCAGCATCCATCAGAATGGGTTCTGCTCAGAGTGAAAAAGGGTGGCAAGAGGTCTGCCACTGAGGGCAGGGGCCGAGTAGGTGGGGCAGACGTTCCCCAGGGGAGCAGGGCTTTGTATTTTGTCTCAGAGCATTCGAAGGATCTGATTCACGAAATCTTCTGTACCCTCTATTTAAGAAAATAGAGAAAATTAACATTAAATATATCATTATGTAGCCAGAAAGGCCAAATAAATTGACTAAAGATTTATTTAATCTAATTGTATATAAATGAACGCTAAAATGTAGAAATGAGGCCAAATACAGAATAAAGTAAAAGAATCAGTAGTACATTACATTAGAGCAATAATGAATCAGCAGGTGAGGTTAAAAAGCTCCTGTTGAGCCCAGCCAGTGTGGCTCAGGGTTGAGTATCCACCTGTGAACAAGGAGGTCATGATGTCCCTGCTGCAGGCTCGATCCCCAGTTGGGGGGTCACGTGAGGGAGAAAGGGCTGGTCAGTGATTCTCTGCCATCGTTAATGTTTCTGCCTCTCCCTCTCCCTTCTCTGAAATCAATCTATAATAATAAAAGCATAATATGTTAATTAGACTGGATGTCCTTCCGGATGACCTTCCAGATGAAGCCAGGGCTGTAAGGGAAGCCCCCAGGTGCCTACTGGCAGCCGGAGGGAGGTCCGTGTCTCAGGTGCCTGCCAGTGGCTGGAGGGAAGCCCAGGTTCTGGGTGTCAGAGGGAAGACAGTGCCGGCAGCCAGGGGAAGGAAGGCTTGCTTTTGCCCAAATTTCATGCATCAGGCCTCTAGTAAAAATATATACTTTTAAAAAGCTCCTGTTGATAATAGTGCCATAAATTTGGTGTATACATATAGATATACAGTTAACTCTCAAACAGTACAACCCAAAACACCAAACAGGTTTGAAATGCATAGGTCAATTTATGTTTGTTTTTTTTTTTTTAATTTATCTTTTTTTTTTTTAATATATATTTTATTGATTTTTCACAGAGAGGAAGACAGAGGGATAGAGAGTCAGAAACATTGATGAGAGAGAATCATCAATCAGTTCCCTCTTGCACACCCCCCACTGGGGATGTGCCCGCAACCAAGGTACATGCCCTTGACCGGAATCGAACGCTCTGTCCACTGAGCCAAACCGATTTCAGCTTAAAATTTATCTTTATTGTTGAAAGTATTACAGATGGTCCCTTTGTTTTTGTTTTTCTTTTCCCATTAACCCATTTCACCCCACACCCACCTCTCTCAGGCCTTCACCACACTCTTGTCTGTGTCCATGGGTTATGCATATATGCATATAAATTCCCAGTTAATGCCTCCATACCCACCCTCCCAGCCCCACCTTTCCTCTGAAATTCATCAGTCTGTTCCATGCTTCTATGTCTCTGGATCTATTTTGTTCTTCAGTTTATTTTGTTCATTAGATTCCGTATATGAGTGAGATCATATGATATTTATCTTTCTCTGACTGGCTTATTTAGCATAGTACTCTCCAGGTCCATCCATGTTGTTGTAAATGGTAAGAGTTTTTTCATTGTTATAGCCGAGTTGTATTCCATGGTGTAAATGTACCATAGTTTTTGTCCACTCATCTACTGATAGGCATTTGGGCTGTTTCCAGATCTTAGCTATCAGAATGGCTACCATCAACAAATCCAAGAAATGCTGAAAGTTCTGGCACCCTCTTAAAGGTGTTCTGGCAGAAGGAGGGTGAAGTGGACTGGAGCTCTGAGAGCAGAATCCAGGACTGGGAACTCAGGGGATAGAGCTCAGAAGGCAGATACCCCAAATTTCCTGGGCTGAGTCATTACCTCACACAGTGGAAGACATCTTTCCTACATACACATTTACCTTGCCTGGTGGGGGTGTGAGGAAGACACACCCTATTGGAAAACACCTTCCCCTGAGGGCACTTGAGAGATTAAAAGTAACAATTAGCCTCCAGACAGAAGTAACTGCCCCACCCTGTTGAAAAAACTCTTGCCACACCTGAGGATGATTGCTTGGGGCAATTCAAGTCGAAATCCTATTAATCCATAGATAGAGGTAGTCTCTGGAGGCTTTGAGTCTTTGCCGATCCAATTAGTCAGAAATAGCCTTTAACACCGTCCTGTACTAGAGATTGAGAGGTATAGAGGATCTACCTAAATCATAGTCACACACCCAAACAACCAAAATAAGGAAACAAAGAAACAACCCCCAAATGAAAGAACTATAGAATTCTCCAAAAGAAGAGAGAAATTTATCTGAAAAATAAAGAACACATTGGAAGGAATACACAGCAGATCAGAGAAAGCTGAGGATCAAATCAGTGAATTAGAAGACAGAGTTGAAAATATCACTCAATTAGAGAACCAAAAAGAAAAAAATAATTAAAAAATAGGAGAATGGCATAAGGGATCTGTGGGACAATGTGAAACATAACAATATTAGAATAGTAGGTGTTCCAGAAGAGGCAGAAAGGGAGAAAGGAATAGAAAAGGCATTTGAAGAAATAATGGTAGAAAACTTACATAACCTGGTAAAGGAAAAAGTCACACAAGTTCAGGAGGCACAGAGAAAGAACCCCAAACAAGAAGAACCCAAACAGACCCATGACCAGACACATCATAATTAAAATGGCAAGAATTAACGACAGAGGATCTTAAAGGCAGCAAGAGAAAAACAAAACAAAAACTGTTACCTACAAAGGAGTTCCCATAAGGGCTACCACCTGATTTCTCATCAGAAACTATACAGGCCAGAAGGGAATGGCATGAAGTACTTAATGTAATGGAAAGGCAGGATCTGAGACCAAGATTACTATATCCAGCAAGGCTGTCATTCAAAATAGACTGTCAAATAAAGAGGATCCCAGACCAAAATAAATAAATAAATAAATGCTAACAGTTTATCACCGTCAAGCCAACATTACAAGAAATGCTAAGGGGATTGTTGTGAGGGATTGCTGAGAAGAAGAAACAGAGAGAATCCTAGCCATACAGAATTAAAATGGCTATAAGTACCTCTCAATAATAACCCTAAATGTAAATAGACTAAATGCTCCAATCAAAAGGTGTAGGGTAGCTGAATGGATACAAAAACATGACCCAACTATATGCTGTCTACAAGAGACCCACCTCAAAACAAAAGACACACACAGGATGTAAGTGAAGGGAAGGAAAAATTTTTTCCATGCAAATGAAAAAGAAAAAAAAAAGCTGGAGTAGCAATACTCATATCCGACAAAATAGACTAAAAGCATCATGCTAAGCGAAACAAGCTAGTTGGAGAAAGATAAATATCATATGATTTCACTCATTTGAGGAATATAATGAACAACATAAACTAATGAACAAAAATAGCCGAAACCGCTGAGACTGGTTTGGCTCAATGGATAGAGCGTCGGCTTGGGGACTGAAGGGTCCCGGGTTCGATTCCGGTCAGGGGCATGTACCTTGGTTGTGGGCACATCCCCAGTAGGGGGTGTGCAAGAGGCAGCTGATCGATGACTCTCTCTCATCGATGTTTCTAACTCTCTATTTCTCTCCCTTCCTCTCTGTACAAAATCAATAAAATATATTAAAAAAAAAAAAAAATAGCCGAAACCGGTTTGGCTCAGTGGATAGAGCGTCGGCTTGGGGACTGAAGGGTCACAGGTTCGATTCCGGTCAAGGGCATGTACCTTGGTTGTGGGCACATCCCCAGTAGGGGGCGTGCAAGAGGCAGCTGATCGATGACTCATGGATGTTTCTAACTATCTCTCTCCCTTCCTCTCTGTAAAAAGATCAATTTTATATATATATATAAAATAGAGCCAGAGGGGAAAAATATATACTAGAATATAATAGAAGTAATCCTGTTATTTGCAGATTTCTAATAATTCCTACAACTTTTGTGATATCATACTATATTAGTACAGTTTTGGTAATATTATACCTAAAATCCTTTTATTCTTTAAATATTAATGTTTGTTGCATGTAATATTATATGTAAGATAATTTTTCTTGAATGATTGGTATTTATTGCATGTAACATTATTTAAAATAATTTTTCTTGAAAAAACAAAACAAAAACTGGCTCTAGTTGGTTTTGCTCAGATTGTCAGCCTGAGAACTGAAAGGTCCCAGGGTTGATTGCGGTCAAGGTCACGTGCCTGGGTTGTGGGCTTGATCCCCAGTGGGAGACTTACAGGAGGCAGCTGATCCATGATTCTCCCTCATCATGGATGTTTCTGTTTCTCTTTCCCTCTTTTTTCCTCTCTCAAATCAATAAAATATACATTTAAAACAAAACAAAACAAAACAAACAAAAAACAAAAAAAGTAAAACTAGAAAAAAGAAAAGAAACCTGAAACACCAGGTTTAGATAGCAGTATCTATAATACATGTTTTTTTTTCAATGAATACATTTAGTTCTGTAATTGTATTTTCTCTTCCTTAACATTTTTTCTCTAGCTTTATTGTAAGAATACAGTATATAATACAGATAACATACAAAATGTGTGTTAATTGAGTGTTTTCAGTAAGGCTTGTGGTTAAAAGTGGGCTATAAGTAGTTAACGTTTTGGGGGAGTCAAAAACGGATTTTCAACTGCATGGGGGGTCAGCACCCCTAACCCATATGTTGTTCAAGGGTCTACTACATGTACAGATATCTGTGTATATATGTGTATACACACATATTCAGACATATGCATATGCATGTGTGCATTGTTTGAAATGAAGGAAAATAATTCAGCAAAATAATGTTTGTTTCACTTGAGCAAAATTTTAGATCTAAAATAGGGAATTTTGGAAATATATTTATTTATATCAACAATCATCTCATTATGGGAATTATTTTATCAGTGATACAACCCTCATAGATAATTTTACATGGTTTCTATTGATGATTATTGACAGAACAAATTCAAGTTTATGTTCTTGACTGTGAACTGTTCTCTTGGTTTCATCTTTAGGTGGTAGAAAGCAGTTCAATATTTTGCTTGAAAATGCATAAAGAAGTGGTTTTTAATTTAAAAAGTGTATTAGAACAGTGGAAGAAGAAGTTAAGTTCTGGCTCTCACATTGTATTAGGTATGTGTTTTAATTTCTCCTTATATTTAGAGAAGGTAGAGGTATTAGGAATCATGCCTTCAATTCATTTATGTATCTCATCTCCAAATTTCTCATCAGATTTATTCAGAATTTGTTAATCTGAATTTCAAAATGAAAATTAACCTCTATTAAGATTTTAACGTTGCCCTAGTCAGTGTGGCTCGGTTGGTTGGGTGTTATCCTGTGCACTGAAAGGTCTCCGATTCGGTTTTCTTTAGGGCACATGCCCTGCTTTCGGGCTTGCTTGATCCCTGGTAGGGGCATGCAGGAAGCAACTGATGAATGTTTCACTCTTACATCAATGTTTCTTTCTCTGCCTCTCCCTTCCTCTTTCTCTAAGAATCAATACAAATATATATATTTAAAACGTTTAATATTGAAGTGGATCTAGGTGCTCCCCCCCCCCCGCCCCCCCCGGCTCTCAGGACGTTAGGCAGCAACCTTTCTTAGTCCAGACATTCTCCCTAGAGTTCTAGCTTGAGGATCACTGTCTCATTTATAGAGATACATGTGCATGTCATACATGACTGTGACATTTAGTATTAGAAATTTAAAAGTCAGCCTTAACCGGTTTGGCTCAGTGGATAGAGTGTAGGCCTATGGACTCAAGGATCCCAGGTTTGATTCTGGTCAAGGGCATGTACCTGGGTTGTGGGTACATTCCCAGTAGGGGGCGTGCAGGAGGCAGCTGATTGATGTTTCTCTCTCATTGATGTTTCTAACTCTCTATCCTCCCTTCCTATCTGTAAAAAAAAATCAATAGGCCGAGACCGGTTTGGCTCAATGGATAGAGCGTCGGTTTGGGGACTGAGGGGTCCCGGGTTCGATTCCGGTCAAGGGCATGCACCTTGGTTGCGGGCAAGTCCCCGGTGGGGGGTGTGCAGGAGGCAACTGATCGATGACTCTCTCTCATCGATGTTTCTAACTCTCTATCTCTCTCCTTTCCTCTCTGTACAAAATCAATAAAAATAAAAAAATCAATAGAATACATTTAAAAAATTTTTTTAAAGTCAATATGTATAAAATAAATGTTAAAATAGATATGGGCAGCCTAAATTTTTAACAAAAAGAGGGTTTTTTTCCTTTTAAGCTAAAAGGAGACCACTTTTTCTCTGGAATTTAATCACAGGGCTGTGACATATATTGGAAAAAATGGGAAAGCCCTGGCACAGTAGCTCAGTTGGTTAGAGTGTTATCCTGATATGCCAAGGTCGTGGGTTCCATCCCTGGTCAGGGTACATACAAAAAGCATCCAGTGACTGCATAAACAAGTGAAACAGCAAAGTGATGTCTCCCTCTCTCTCTTCTCCCCCTCCTCCTGCTTCCTCGCTCTGTCTCTCAAGTCAATAAATAAAAAGAAAAAGGTCCTGGCTGGTGTTGCTCAGTGATTGAGCATAGATCTATGAACCAGGAGGTCACAGTTGGATTTCCAGTCAGGGCACATACCTGGGTTGTGGGCTCAATCCCCAGTAGGGGGTGTGCAGGAGGCAGCCAATCAATGATTCTTTCTCATCACTGATGTTTCTATTGCTCTCTTTCTCTCCCTTCCTCTCTGAAATGAGTAAAAATATATTTTTTAAAAAGAAAGAAAATGGAAAGCCTTTTTTTGCATCTCAAAAGTAAAATGCAATAAAGAAATGTATTGAAGTACTAGAGGCCTGATGCATAAAATTCGAGCAAGGGCCTTGGTCCCCGTCACCGTGGTGGCTGCCTCTGCCTTGGTCCCCAGCTTCTGCTGCCTCTGCTTCAGCCCCTGCCCACCACAGCTTTGTCTAGAAGGAAGGATGTCTGGTCTTATGAGCATATTACGCTTTTATTATCATAGATGGTTGCTGGAATTGTTTGGTAGAGTGCAGTAAAACCATAGTCTCATTTGAAATTGTCGGTCTCCTTTTCTCTAGCTTTAACTGACGACTGCATCCCACTCTTGGCCATCACTGATGCCACGTGTGTGATTCACTTCAGCTTTCCTTCCTCACCAAAAATTTTTGGTGGACGTCTGTATTGCATGTCTGATCATTTTCAGAGTTTAACTGAACAGGTTTGATTATGTTTTATTATCTTTAAATATTCTACTGTGCAATAAAAAATTCAGAATCCACAAAGTTTTATTGTTCAGACTGGTATGGATGATCCACTTTCTTTATTCACCCTGATTTTAAGGGTTCTATTGCAAAACAGGGAGGTAAAAAGACCAAATCTGTCTTGCTGCTGACGGAGAGAGGTTCGTGCCATGCTGTGGGTGTTTTGCGATACTTGGAAAGAGCAGATGCCAAGATTCCATCAGAGCTGTATCAGTTTACTGCAGGCGTTCTAGAAGCCAAGGAGGAAAAGAAAGCTGGGAGGCCTCTCTGTCCATATCTTAAGGCTTTTGGATTTTGCAAGTAAGTCAGGCATTTTTTTTTTTTTTTTTTTTTTTTTTTTTTTTTTTTTTTTTTTTTTATCATTGACGTGTACAGTAAAGGGCACAGGGGGTCAGTTTAAGCTCCATGACTTGTTCCATGTGTGCACCCATGTAAACCACCACCTGGCTCTAGAGAGCGCCCCAAAACCCTCTCATGCTCTTTCCCAAGGTGCCCTTCCTCCAGAAGTAACACCCTTCTGATATCATTCAGCACTGATCAGTTTTGCTTGTTTTTTACTTCATATTCAACCTAATATATGTGACATTTATTTGTATATGTATATCAGCCTTTTGCTTATTTGTTTATTTAGTAGCTCAGTATTTTATTACGTGAATACTAGAGGCCCGGTGCACAATATCATGTACGGTGGGGTCCTTCGGCCTGGCAAGTGATTGGAGCCAATTGGGGCCATCTTTCCCAGTCCCAATCAGGGCCAGCTGGCCACGGGGAGGGACTATGGGAGGTTGGCTGTGGGAGCGCACTGACCACTAGGGACAGCTCCTGCAATCAGTGTCTGCCCTCTGGTGGTCAGTGTGTGTCATAGGTACTGGCTGGTCACTTAGGCTTTTATATACTATCTAATAAAGAGGGAATATGCTAATTAACCCTCACACCCTCACAAATGGCAGTACAAATGGCAGTGCCCACAGCTAATAAAGAGGGAATATGTTAATTGACATGCCCTCACAAGATGGTGGTACCCATAGCCACAAGATGGTAGTGCCCAGTCCTCTAATCCTTACCTCATTTAGCTGGAGTCCCCCAGTCCCCTCAGCCCCACCTCACCCAGTCCCCGCAGCATCCAGCCTCATCCAGCCTCACTCCCTCAGTCTCTCAGCCCTGCCTCACCCAGCTGGAGTCCCCCAGTCCCCTCAGTTCCGCAGGGGGGGGGGGAAGAGAAGTTGAAGGCAATTGGGCTTGCAGGGGAGGGCAGTTGAGGACAATCATGTCAGCAGGCAAGTGGTTAGGAGCTAGTAGTCCCGGATTGTGAGAGGGATGTCCAACTGCCGGTTTAGAAGGAAGGATGTTTTATTATCTTTAAATATTTTACTGTGCAATTGGACATCCCTCAAGGGATCCCAGATTGGAGAGGGTACAGGCTGGGCTGAGAAACCCCCTCACACCCCTCACCCCGTGCACAAGTTTCATGCATCAGGCCTCTAGTACATAGATAACACAATGTGTATATCTATTATATTCTTTTCTTGATGATCCTATGAGTTGTTTCCAGTTTGGGCTATTATATAGGAAGCTGCTGTGAACATTCTTATACCTATATTTTTGTGGAAATATGAACCCATTTCTATATACTTTGGAGTGGAATTGCTAGATCATGGGATAAGCATATGTTTAACTTTTCCAAAGTGCTTGACCATTTTACAGTTTAATCAGTAACATGTGAGAAAGTTTGAGTTACTTTATATCCTCACCAACACTTAGTATTCTGGAATGTAGAGGTAAACCATTGTGATTTTCTTTTGTTTTCCTAATAATGATGTTGACTGTCTCTTCATATGCTTGTGGCACATTAGAGAATCCACTTTTTGTGATGTGCCTATTCAGGTCTTTTGTCTATTATTATTAAAAGGATTTATCCTGATTAACCCACAGGTTGAGAACTGCTAGCAGGGTTGCCTAAGACCATCGGAAAACACAGATATTTATATTATGATTTATAATAGTAGCAAAATTACAGTTATGAAGTAGCAACAAAAATAAATTTATGGTTGAGGGTCACCACATGAGGAACTGTGTTAAAGGGTCGCAGCATTAGAAAGGTTGAGAACCACTGCTCTAGAGGCTTTGCAGCTTTGGCTTCACATTTAGGTGTGTGATCCATATTGAGTTAACTTTTGTGTACAGTGTGAGATTCGAGGCACAGCTTACTTTTTCCAATCACTTGCTGCAGCATCATTTATTTAAGTCATCATTGTGTCCTCACTGAGTTGATGCCTTTAATATAAACCAGATGATAGTATTTGTGTTCCTTTTGTGGACTCTTTTGGTTACATCAGCCTACTTGTCTATCCTTATACCAGTCTATTTTTTTCTCAAGTATTGTAGCATATTTTATAGTGAGTCTTGGCATCTGGTATATTAAGTTCTCCAACTTTACCCTTCTTCAAGGTTGTTTTGGCTACTATAAGTCTCTTGCTTCTCTATATACATTGTAATATACAGGTTTGTCAACTAGTTTAAAAACTCAGCTGGAATTTTGATAGCAACTGCATTGATTCTATAAATCAGTTTGGAGAACTTGAATATCTTAACAGTCCTGATCCAGACATAATGCCATTACTTGATACATAAATGGATGGCTTGGACTGGGTAGTAGATGTCTAATAATTTATCTTTTGGATTTAATGTAATTTTAAGATAACTTGACATGTATTTTTTAAATCTATGTTACATTGCACAGTATTATCAGCAGTTTCCTCTATGCCTTTAAATAGAATGTTGACTTTTAAAGCTGAAGTTTCAACTACTTCTAAGTTTGGGTTAAGGCAAGCATGTCAAACTCAAAAGCTAACAGGTCAAATAAAGGAGGCATGTGGCCCACAGGCTGTGAGTTTGACATGCTTGGGTTAAGGACTGGCTTAGAGTCTTTATCTTGGAAATCCATTTTATTCATTTATGTATTATACTTAAGAATGTCTAAAGAAATAATGAAGTAACTTCTTAATTCAGCATTAATTAAAATTTAGGGTCCTATTTTATATACTTTGTTAGTATCATCTGAAGTATTTAGTATATTATTTATCTTTTAAAGTGTTTCAAGTAAAAGTTCTCTGATTTAAATTATAGATTTATATCTGGTTTTAAAATCTGGCTACTTTTTTTCAGAGACAAAAGGATTTGTCCTGATCGACACCATATTAATCCAGAAATAGACAATCCAAGAAAATTATCCAACCATGCTATACCAATGTTTGGATACATTAAAGTAAGTTCTGAAAATTGTTTTGTTGAATGATTAATGGTCATTTTAATGAACATATTTTTTGCCGAAACCGGTTTAGCTCAGTGGATAGAGCGTCAGCCTGCGGACTGAAAGGTCTCGGGTTCAATTCCGGTCAAGGGCATGTATCTTGGTTGCAGGCACATTCCCAATAGGGGATGTGCAAGGGGCAGCTGATCGATGTTTCTCTCTCATTGATGTTTCTAGCTCTCTATCTCTCTCCCTTCCTCTCTGTAAAAAATCAATAAAATATATATTTTTTAAAAAGATAATGAACATATTTTTTAAGCAGCAAAATCTTAGTATAATATAATTATGACTTCTAGTGTTCAGTATTAATTTACCACCATTAATTCAACAATAGGCACATATCCTTAGAAGGCTCCCAGGTTATTTAGAAAATCAAGATCAAATTGGGAAAGTGGATAAACCCCTTCAACAATTTCAGAAAGAAAGTTGTTTTTGGGGGGAAAGGATTATTAAAAATAATGTATTGATCACATGAATCTTTTCAGAACATCCATGATTATTGCTTTGAGGAAAAATCTGAGATGCAGATAGAATTGCTGAGTTAAGAGTTTGTTGCTTTAAAAAAAAAAATACTTTTTATTACTTTTTGAGTTAGATTTCTTTTCATCTTTCCTTTCCCTTAAAGTATATCTGTTGTGCTCTTCTCATTTTCTGGGGCTGTGGTAACAAACCACAAACTGGGTGACTCACAACAACAGATTTATTGTCCTGGTTGAGTGTCATCCTATGCACGGGAAGGTCATACTAGTAGGTTTGATTCCTGGTCCCAGCACATACCCAGGTTTCAGGATGGATCCTCATGTTTCTCTCTCACATGGATGTTTTTTTCAACTACTTGAGTAAATACCAAAGATTGTGATTGCAGGATTGTATAGTAAGAATTTTTGTTTTGTAAAAAACTGCCATACTGTTTTCTGAAGGGCCTGTACCATTTTTCATTCCCACCAGCAGTGAATGAGTTATAGCAGCATTTGACATTGTCAGTGTTTTGGCTCTTATTAGCCTTTCTAATAGGATATTTTTTTCCATTGAATTTTAGAGAGTGGAAGGGAGAAATGGAGGAAAATATCAATGATTGGTATCCTTCCATACACACCTTAACCAGGGCCAGGGATTGAACCTGCAAACCAAGGTTTGTGCCCTTGACTAGGAGTCAAACACGAGACCTTTCAGTGTATGGGCTGACAATCTGTCTACTCAGCCATACCAGCTAGGGTGGTAGTGGCATCTTGTTTTATTTTGTATTTCCCTGATAACATATGATTTTGTTTTATCTTTTTTAACCCTCACTTGAGGATATTTTTCCATTGATTTTTAGAGAGAGTGAAGGCGGAGAGACAGAGAAATATATCAATGGGTTGCATCTGGTGCCGGGGATTGAGCCTGCAATTTAAGTGTGTGCCTTTGATGGGTATTGAACCTGCGACCCTTCAGTCCACAGGCCAACGCTTTATCCACTGAGCCAAACCATCTAGGGCCCTGATGATTTTTGAACATCTTTTCATATGCTTATATTTGTCACTTGTATATTTTCTTTGGTGGGTGATGGGATATTAGTTCGGGTTTTTTGTCCTATTTTGTTGTTGTTAATTCTCACTCCAGGATATTTTTTCCATTGATTTTTGGGGAGAGTGGAAGGGAAAAGAGAGAGAGTAAGAAACATCAATGAGAGACATTGATTGGTTGCCTTCTGCACATGCTGAAGGGGCTGGGAATCAAACCCATGAGTCTTCAGCGCACAGATCAGTGCTTACCTATTAAGCAACACTGGCTGGACTGCCCATTTTTTAATTTGGATGTATGTGTTTTTTTTAAATCTTTAATGTTGAAAATATTACAGATGTTTCCTTTTTTCCTCTCATTGCCCCCCACTACCCTGTTACCGCTCCACTCCAGGCCTTCACCACCCTATTGTCTGTGTCAATAGGTAATGCTTATATGTATGTAAGATCTTTGGTTAATCTCTCTCTGCTTCCCAATCCTCTTCCTTCTGAGATTCATGAATCTGTTCCATAGCTCTTATTCTATTTTATTAATCAGTTTATTATGCCCATTAGGTTTCTTATTCATTTGATTTTTAAATTTAGTTGTTGATAGACATGTATTTACTGCCATTATATTATTCAACTCCCCTTCCTCCTCTTCTCCTCCCGCTCCTACTCTCCTCTTTTCCCCCTTCTCTCTTCTGCACGCCCCCCCCCCAACATTTCATGTAATAACTGATTTGGTGGCAATGAACTCATTTAGCTTTTTCTTGTCTGTTCATCACTTTGAATATTTCTTGCCACTCCCTTCTGGCCTGCATAGTTTCTGTTGAGAAATCAGCTGACAGTCATATGGGCACTCCCTTGTATGTAATCAACTGTTTTTCTCTTGCTGCTTTTAATATTCTTTGTTTTTTGCCCTTGGCATTTTAATTATGACGTGTCTTGGTGTGGTCCTCTTTTTGTTCCTCTTGTTTGGGACTCTATGGGATTCCTGGACTATTTCTTTCACCAGGTAGGAGAAGTTTTCTATCATTATTTCTTCAAATAGGTTTTCAATATCTCAAACCCTCTCTTCTCCTTCTTGCTCCCCCAAAATGTGAATGTTGGTACTCTTGAAGTTGTCCAGAGGCTTCTTATATTATATTCATATTTTTTTATTCTTTTTTATTTTTGCTTTTCTGAGTAGGTGTTTTTTGCTCCCTCATTTTCAAATTATTGATTTGATTCTTGGAATCTTCTAATTCTCCTGTTAAATCCCTATAAATTATTCTTTATTTCAATTAGTATATGCTTGATTTCTTACTGGTCATTTTCACGTCTTTGACATTATCACTAAGATGCTTGAAAGTCTTACTAAGTCCATTGAAGCTCTCATTAATTCCCTTGAAACTCTCATTAAGACCCTTGAATAATTTGATAACCATTGTTTTGAATTTTGTTTCCAGTAGTTTTCTTGCTTCTATTTCTTTCATTGTGACATGTTTCTCTGTCTCCACATTTTGGCTGCTTCCCTGTGTTTGTTTCTCTGTATTGGGTAGAGTTGCTATGTTTCTTGGAATTGGTAGAGTGTCCGTCCTTGTGTAGTAGGTGTTCTATAGGGTCCAGCTTCCCCAGTCACCGGATCTAGGCACTCTAGGTGTACCCCTTTGTGGGCTGTATGCTCGGTCTTATTGTAGTTGAGCTCTGATTGCTGTTGGTATCACTGGGAGGAATAGACCTCCAGGCCAATTGGCTGTGAAGACCAGCTGCATCCACAATGGAAGCTGGGGCTTTGGTGCTCACTGAGTCTGCCCCTTAAGTGTGTCATGTTGTAATCTGGTGTGGTCTGAAGTTGTTAAACCAGGGCCCATGGGGCCACCTGGCAGGAACTACAAAGAGATCTGTAGATGGCTGCTACTTGTATTGGGCTAGGAAGTGCCCAGGCAAGTGCCTAGCACTAGCACCAGCCTGCCTAGCACTAGCACCAGCCTGCTAGGCACTTCCTGCTAGGAAGTGCCTAGCACTAGCACCAGCCTGTGAAGCAAGGCAGGCTGGTGCTAGTGCTAGGTCTTGGGCCTTTTATGGATAGGTTTGCTGCCAGCTGCTGCTGTTTCCAGAGATTTTAACAAAATCTGAAGCCTGAGCTAGGACAGGGCATTCATATGGAAAAGCTGCTGCAAACAGCTTGGGTGGGGTGAGGCTGCAAATTTCATGCATCAGGCCTCTAGTTTTACGATAATGAGTTTTACAAAAAAAAAGTCTGGTAGATTTAAAGTGAAGCTAATTATTTGTGGATAGAATAATGTTTTTATTGTGTTTTTGCTTGCTTGTTGGCCAGTTTTCCAGTTTATTTTTCTATCTCTGTTCATGTGCTTTGGGTTCTTAGGTCAGGAGTTGATATTTGCAGACAAGTCCTGAGTTTAGCTTGATTTTATTTCCTGGCCATGTTTTTATATTTCAGATAATACCCTTTTACATTTTGAATGCAACGAATTACTTTGGTCGTATAGTTGATAAACATGTGGATCTTTATGCAACTCTTAATGCTGAAATGAAGCAGTATTTTGAGGATTCCAGTAATAAAACAGCCATTGAAAAGGTGGAGAAATTTGGATTATATGGATTAGCAGAGAAAACACTTTTTCACAGGTAGAATGTCTGTTATTTCATCTTGAAAAGTTATGAAGCACTAGGTGATTTGAACCCCCATTTTCACTTATGTTCGTTCGGCCCACTGTTTACTTGTTAGGTCTGCTGACTCCCAGAATGGTGATGTTAAGGTCATGGCCCCAAGACCCTGGGCACAGTTCCACAGTGGGACTCAGAGCTTTGATCACAGAGCCTGGATGACTGTAGTGTTTATATACTGACAGTTGTGGAGCCATCATTGTGTGCTAAATACAAATATATCTTTAACTCAATTTTCACAAAGGACGTGGCATTGTTCCCATTTTACAGATAGGCATACTGAGCCTTGGCGAGGCTGTATATTTCGTCTAAGGTCAATTCAATACGTGGAAGTATTCCAACCTGGGCATTTGATGACTCACATACTTGTTGGCACCTGCATCCTTTGGATGCCACACCCTACTCCACTTGGTGATAACCTAGTTTGAGAAAGTTTTAATTTGCTACGTTAATTTTTAATGTGTTGTCAAAAAAGGGATCTACTCTATTTGAGGTATGCTTTAAATAAACCATTGCTAAGTGTTCTTGACAGCTCTAGGTATTTTATTCCTAGTATGAAATAAAACAATGCAGCTCGGGGTCTTATTATATATTTAGCACGTAATGGGTAAGCTGAGGCAAAGGTTATCTCCATTTTGGAATCTCTGTGTTAAACCGGTGCCACTGCTGTTCTTCAGAGTTCAGGTGTTGGAGGTGAGCCAAAAAGCAGACACGTGGGCCTTAGACACTGTCCTTGTGAAGTTTATAGATGAAGGCAGGACTGGACCCATCCCCAGAGACCAGCTGCTGCATCTCCCAGAAAACTTCCAGGCTCTGCCCCCCCAGGCCATGGAGTTCATTGTTTGTCGAGTGAAACCCGCTGACAATGAAGCTGAATGGAACCCAAAGGTGAGCGGTGTTTCGGCTTCTTATAGTTTGCTGGCTTTTGGAGTATGCTTAACACAGAACTGAGGTTTACTTGAATGTACAGTGTTGAGGTTGGGTAAATGCTTCCTGTTCCTGAGCAGAGAAAGCACGCTCTGCCTGGGTCCCTGAAGGCATGGGCTGCGCTGACAGCCAGCCTGCAGAGACCCAGCTCTGACAGGCACCCTTTTTGTTGGGGGCGGCTGCCATCATCATCATCAGCTCTCACAGACGTAGAATTGGTGGGAAGTGTGTGTAGTGATAAAGCAAATTGGCTGTCAGCTTCAGGAGAAGAAACAGTGTAAGAACCTACAAAATGGATACCCTGGCCAGAGGGCCCACCCGTGATGCCACTTTCTGGAGTGACCAGGTAATTCCGTGGGGTTGGGAGGATGGACGAGGAAAGAGAGAGAACAGACAAGCTCTCAAAGGAAGGAACATTTCTCTGGGCCTTTCGGAGGAGTGACTAGGATGTCACCAAGAGGATTGGATGAGGCCGTGAGGCTAAGAAAACAACATGAGCCAGGACAAGGGGCACGGAAGAGTGGTCCAGGGTGGGCTTCCGCAGCCTCCCAACATGGGCTGCAGAGGTACTCGCCGCCTGGGAGAGGTCACCAGACAGTCCTCATCCCCAGAGCAATGAGGCCTGTTCTTAAGGACGCCCTGGTTCTTCAGAGGAAGTTAGTTTTGTATCCTCTGATTAGTAGGAAATGAAATAAGCCATTGCAGCTGGCAAAGTAAAAACAATTTGGGTTATACACAAGGTTGCACGTTATTCAGGAAATACATAGGTGAATGTTTCCACCACACAGGGTGAGCACACAGCCTTCTGTCGTGAGTTTAGTAGAATAGACCGTTACTTACTAAATAGCAGTCTTTTCCTTCACAGAAAGTATTTGCTGATTGTCCACTGTGTGCTGGTGCCATATGTATTCTGGGGGTGTAGCCATTAGCAAGAAAGTCATGGTCAAGAAGCATTTGGTCTGTCAAGGAGATCAACCACAAGTATTTCTTGAAGAGGAGCCTTCTGTAGAAATGGGGGCAATGTTCTCCTGTGCGTGTTCTTTCAAATTAATTACCAAGTTCAATGGAGGGGAAATAATCCAGTCACAATGAATCAGCTCCCTTCCAGTCTGCTTTACTGGAGTCAAAATGTGCCTGACAGTGCTCAGACAGGTCTCATCCGCTGGGCCTCTCAGGTCCTGGTGCAGAGCAGCTCCATGCGTGCCTGCCTCCCCTGCACCTGCAGGAACGCTATTTCACTCCCATTGAGCTTTCAAGGAAATAAACATCCACCCTTAAAGACAGGTTGATAGTTACAGAGGAGGTGGGGACACATGACCAGGGTAGGAAGCACTCAGTATTAGGAGTCCAGAGGCATGGACCTGGTGAACTCGGCCTGAGCACCTGCCCTTTTATTGTTAATACTCACCTGAGGATATTTTTCCATTGATTTTTCAGAGGAAGTGGAAGGGAGTGAGGGAGGACAAGAGGTGTGTGTGTGTGTGTGTGTGTGTGTGTGTGTGTGTGTGTGTGTGAGAGAGAGAGAGAGAGAGAGAGAGAGAGAGAGAGAGACACACACACACACACACACACACTGGTTGGTTGCCTCCAACCAGGGCCAGGATCGAGCCTGCAACCCAAGTACATGCCCTTGATCAGGAATTGCAGGCTAACTACCCATGAAGACACACGGGCCAGGACTCACCTGCCCATATTAAGCTCCACGGTTACTCACTCTGGTTGGTGAAAGTGGCACACCAGCCTCCATAACCTACCTCAGGGGATGGTTGTGGGCTCTAATGAAATGCAGGGAGTGTTCGTTGCAGAACCACATGGCCTGTACAGAATGAGGACTTCCCTTAAAGCTTCACACAACTCACGTCAGTGTGTTTTTCAGGTTACTAGGTACATTCATCATAAAGTTACTGGAAAATTGCATGATGCAAAAGTGGTATTTGCTTTAGGAAATACAATTTGGATTGATCCAATGGTAAGTACACAGTTTTCTTAAAAAGAAATGGGCCTCTGAAATAGTCCATGTTATTCTAACCTGTTGCTTTGAATAACTTTTGTCTCACATGAATGGAGGCTTATTTGGAACTCTGAGTTAGGAGTTTTTTTTGTTTTGTTTTTTCATGTTATTTGGGTAATAATTTGATTTTGGTGTTTTTGTTTAAAGGAATCTTTTTTTTTTTTTTTTAAAGACTGAAGTGGGAGCTACTTCTTTTTTTTTTTTTTAATGTATTTTATTGATTTTATACAGAGAGGAATGGAGAGAGAGAGAGTTAGAAACATTGATGAGAGAGAGTCATCGATCAGCTGCCTCTTGCACACCCCCTACTGGGGATATGCCCGCAACCAAGGTACATGCCCTTGACCGGAATCGAACCCAGGACCCTTCAGTCCCCAAGCCGACGCTCTATCCATTGAGCCAAACCGATCTCGGCTGTTTAAAGGAATCTTTTGCATTGTCTCCCAGTGCTAACAGGCATGTGTGTGTATACACACACACACACACACACACACACACACACACACACTCACAACCGAGACAAGCTTCAGGGAACTGTCCTTACTGTGTGACAGTCTCTAATGCTTACAGTTCTGCCTGTTTCACTTTTGTAAGTGTTGGTTGTGCACTGTTAGGTCGATTTCATAGTCCTCTGTCCACATAGGTGGGGAGGCCTGGGGTCAGTGACTGCCCTCTGTCTAGTTGTAAATGAGCTTAAAGTCCTGACACGTGATTGGTAGTATGGTGAGTTCCAGCCTGTGGGCTTTCAAAATTAGGTTTTATTATGTCCCTAATTTCTCTCTCATTCATTCACTAAATATTGATTGAGTACCTACTGTGTACTAGGTAGGATCTGTATGGGACACTTCAGTTTCAGAGACTCCTATCCTGTGAGCTGATGTGGGGGAGGGTGGTGACTGTGGGACGGGGCCATGGAAATGGGGTCTCAGTGCATCCCCTCTGACGAGGGCACCATCTTCTCCCTGGGCCCAGGAGCTCTACTTTTCAAGTCAAAGTTTTTCTCTATTCGAGTTAAATCTTAGTTACTCATTATTGATAAGTTTTAAAGGAATTCATTTTGTAAAAACTTCTGTTGGGTTATTTTTGTAAGATTGGAAATGCCTTAAAATTTTTTTAAAATTTGGATTGGGCATGTGATTTAAGAGTAAGAGAATAAATGATTTTTAGAAGAGAAGGTAGAGATTACTAGATGGAACTGAAATAGTCAATATTATGGTTCTTTATTTGAGAAAAATGGAAACCATCAAGCAGCAATTTTTAAAGCTATAGCTAAGAAACACCGCCCACCCCCCCGCCACGGGCAGATATGCTTAGGCAGTTCTAAAGTGTAGCAGTGGCCGGGGCACGCTGGGGGAGACAGACCCATGACTTCTCCCTCTCCACTCGACCACTTGGCTTTCCATTGTGGGATAGGAACACCAGTCCCACAAGGGACACATCCCAGGGGTCGCTAGGAAGCTGCCTCCGGCAGTGCCAGCACGCCATGAAAGGGATTCCCAGTCCTGGGTGTGCATCTCCAATCAACAGGAATCAGTTAATTTTGTGTAAATTGAAATGGGTGAGAATGTTTTGGTTGCAGAAGAGGTAGTGGAGGAAACTCCTGAACATAGGATTCAGGGCTTTGGTGGAGAGCCTTTCTGGGCACCTGGAGACCAGGGTCTTCCTTGTGGAGAGAGGTAAAAGCACCGGAGCAAAAATCAGAAAAAGCCTGACTGTTGTGGTGGTTACAGCATCACAGATTGGTCTCATCTGGGGCTTCCCTGCCAGGATTTGGTCTTGGCCCTGACCCAGGCTGTTGGTGTTTGTGTGGTGTGAGACTTGGCTATGAAATGATCGGCTGTCACGGTGGCATGTGACCCAGGGCATCACACATTACTGAGCTGGATCGAGAGGCCACGGGAGCGTGCTTGTGATTCATTTAAAGTTCGAAGTTTGATCTGCAAATGTATTTTTTTCTTTGATTCAAGGTGCACGTTACAAAACTTTTAAATTTAAAAACTTCTGTCATTGATTACAATGTTCGAGCTGAAATTTTGTCAATGGGAATGGGCATTGATAATCCAGAACATATAGAACAACTGAAAAAATTGTACGAAGGAGCTAAAATACAAACTGTTGAAGAAAACCTGAGCCAAATACTGTGAGTGGATTTTTGTCTCTCTTTTGAAAGAGCTATTTTGTGGAAATATAACTTACAAGCGTTATAGACATTTTTTTTTTAAAGTAGACAGTTTAATGCTTTTATCACTCAGCTTCAGTAGTTTCTTTTGGGAATCTTGTTTTAACCAGACCTCAACCTTCACTTTTGTTTTTGTGGAGTGTTATAAAATGGATCCCAGATGTATTATTTTACCTGTGTGTCTCTTATGGAATGAGTTTTTATTAGCTTTTTATTGACAGCACACAGACTGAAAAGTGCACATGATGTAAATGTCATTTGATAGGTTTTCTGAACACAGAAACCAGCCCGGATTAGAAACAGGACTCAGACCAGCTCCTCCCTTCTAGGGCAGCAGTTGGTTTGTCCTCTAAGCAGAATCTTGCAGTGTGTGTCTCTTATATCTAGATCTTTAGCTCAGCATAATTTGTGAAATGCATTCATGTTGTGCATGTAGCTGAAGGCCTGACATTCCCATTGCTTCATTATATCCCATTGTGTGAATGCACCATGGTTACCCATTCTACTGTCGATAGGAGAAACACCCAGTGCTGGGCTGCTTCAGGTGGTACTGTACCAATTCTCCTGCATGCATTTTGGTGAATTTAAGAATGTATTTCTGCCCTAACCGGTTTGGCTCAGTGGATAGTGTTGGCCTACAGACTGAAAGGTCCCAGGTTCGATTCTGGTCAAGGGCATGTACCTTGGTTGCGGGCACATCCCCAGTAGGAGGTGTGCAGGAGGCAGCTGATCGATAGTCTAATTCTCTATCCTCTCCCTTCCTCTCTGTAAAAAAGCAATAAAATAAATATATTTTTAAAAAGAATGTATTTCTGATAGAATCGCTGAGTCAAGCTGGAGCTACTGCCCCCCAGTTTTCCACGTTGGTTGTATCAGCAATGTGAGACACTGAAAGTCACTCTGAGAATGTACAGTCTCAACCCCCAAAGCGGGAGGATGATACAGCGAGTGTTGCCTAAGGACTCAAGTCAATAACTTCTTTCAATTAGGATAGACACCTGTAGAAAACTGGGCAAAAGACTTGAAACTTCACATTGTTCAACTAATTAATTGTTTAATAATTAATACGTGAAAAGATTCTTAAACTCATTAGCCATCAGGGAAATGCAGATTAAAAACACAATGCAGTAATACTTCTATGTATTCACCAGAAATGAAAGAAAATACCATGTTGACAAGGAAGTGGAACAAAAGGCTTTTAAAAACTTGACTGGTCAGGAACCAAGATGGCGGCATAATAAACATCTAAACTTGCTGCCTCGAACAACCACTTCAAAACTACAATTAAAAGACAAAATAGATATCATCCAGAACCACGGAAAGGCTGGCTGAGTGAAATTTATACAACTAGAAGGAAAAAGAAAAGCACATTGAGACTAGGAGGAGGGGCAGAGATTTGAAAGTGAAGTGTGGAGGTACGGAGGTATGCATAGAAAAGGGCTAGTGACTGAATACTCTGTTGTCTTTTTCAATTGGGAGGGAGATACAAGTTCCCAACTGCTCTGAATTCCAGTTCTAGGTGAGACTCTGGGACCCAGACTCATACGGGGAGAAATTGGGCCAGAACACAAGGGCTGCTTTCTCTCAGAGGTGCTTGCAGTGATCATTGTTCCTGCACAGTGCCATGGGACACAGAGACTCCAGGACCTCTTCAGGGCAAGGCTGACAGCAGCCATTGCTGTTTGCTCTGCCCTGGTGATTCCCTGAGATCCTGCCTCACCCAATCTACAACCCCACCCAAGCTGTTCACAGAGGCTTTTGCATATGAATGGCCTGGCCTTTTGCAATCTAAAACTTAACAAACTATAGCTGGGTCAGAAAGCCCCAGAGCCTCCAAAAGAAGGCCCAAGGCTGGACAGCAGCTTGCATTACTTCACAGCTGGGCCTCATCTGGGCACCTCCAAACCCCAAACAAAGAGAAGGAATCTGAAGATCTCTCTATAGCTCCTTCTGGGTGGCCTCAGGCAGTGGATGACTTTGAACCTCATTGGAGATCCAAGAGCCAGCGTACCCAGTGGTCAGAGTGAGACCATCCATATTACAACTCTTCACATCCATAAGAGACACACTCAAGGGGCAGATTCAGTGAGCACCAAAGCCCCACTGAAGCAAGTCTTGCCCCATAAAGGTGTCTCCAACACAGAAGTTCACTCATTGTAGACACAACTGGTCCTCACAGCCAGTTGGCCTGGAGGTCAATTCCTCCAAGTGACACCAACAACAATCGAGGCTTAACTACAACAAGACTGTGCACACAGCCCACAAAGGGGTGCACCAAAAGTGTCCACCTGAGGAAATTAGGGAGGCTGAGCCACTGGGCCTTATAGGAAACATAGCACACAAAGCCACTCTATCAACACAGGGAAGCAGCCAAAATGCAGAGACAAAGAAACAGGTCACAAATGACAGAAATGTAGGAAAGCAAACTACTGGATATAGAGTTCAAAACCACAGTTATAAGGTTACTCAAGAATCTTCTAGAAACCTCTGAGAAATTTAGTGAGACCCTCAAGGATATGAAAAAGGACCAACTAGAAATTAAGCAAACACTGACTGAAATAAAGAATGATATACAGAGATCCAACAGCAGACTAGAGCAGTGGCTAGCAAACTCCTTAGTCAACAGAGCCAAATATCAGTAGTACAACAATTGAAATTCCTTTTAAGAGCCAAATTTTTTAAACTTAAATTCTTCTAACACCACTTCTTCAAAATAGGAGGAGAATCCAAGATGGCTGCATAGGTAAACACCTAGCCGCAGCTGCACACAATTTCAATAAAATACAACTAAAATATAAAATGGACATTACCCAGAACTACAGGAAAGTCGACTGACTAAAAATTCTACAACAAGAAGCAAGGAGAAAACCAGAAGGAAGAGTGGAGGAGCTGTAAAAGCCTAAGGTACGGAGACATGCGGCACGCGCGGAGAGGACGGAGTCGGAGAGGAAGGGCGGCTGAGTGCCTGGCTGGTGTTCCCTAGCGGGAAGGAGACAAAGGCTCCGGACTGTGCTGGGCCCCAGTTCCGACTGCTCTGAACCCCAGTTCTAGGCCAGACCCCGGGGACCCAGGTTCATCCATAGGGAGCTGGGCCGTAAGGTGGAATCCTGGGGGAGCGGCGAAAGGAGGTCCCGGAGGCACACACATTGCGGCAGAGAAGGGACGGTTGGCTGTGCCGCGGGATTGCCCTGGTGGGAAGGAGACAGGGACTCCAGACTGCTCTGAACGCCACCTCCAACTCCACTTCCAACTAAACTGAACCCCAGTTCCGTGCTCACTGGGGGAAAGCCTACTGTTCGGTAGCAGGCGAAAATCGAGGGCACCTTTCTCTCAGAGGTGCTTGCAATGAGTACTGAAGGACCCTGAGGATTACTGAGACTCAGGAACCGTATAGGGAGTGGAAGCCAAGGCTGTAGGCTCCACCCTGAAACCCCGCCCCATTCAAGCAGAACACAGACTTTTAGGGCTACCAACTCAGGGAAGCTGCGAAAATGCCGAGATAAGAAAATAGATCACAAATGAAGCGACTGGATATAGAGTTCAAATCTATGCTTATAAGGTTTTTCAAGAATTTCTTAGAAAAGATCGATAAGACCTATGAGGATATGAAAAGGGATCAACTAGAATGAATAAGGAATCAATAAGAAATAATAAGGGATCAACAAGAAATAATAAGGGATCAACAAGAAATAAAGAATACATTGTCTGAAATAAAAAATATTATACAGAGCCCTAAAAACAGAATGGAAGATCGTAAGAATCAAGTCAAAGATTTGGAACATAAAGAGCCAGAAGACACTCCTCCGCAGAAGCAAGAAGGCAAGAGAATCCAGAAAATTGAAGATAATGTAAGAAACCTCTGGGACAACTTCAAGCAAACCAACATCAGAATTATGGGGGTCCCAGAAGATGAGAGAGAGCAAGATATCTAAAACATACTGAACGAAATAGTGACAGAAAACTTCCCTCACCTGGTGAAAGAATTAGACTTACAAGTTCAGGAAGCACACAGAACTCCAAACAAAAGGAATCCAAAGAAGACCACACCAAGACAAATCATAATTAAGATTCCAAGAGCAAAAGACAGAGAATATTAAAAGCAGCAAGAGCAAAGCAGGTAGTTACCTATAAAGGAGCACCCATATGATTGTCAGCTGATTTCTCAACAGAAACCATACAGGCCAGATGGGAATGGCAAGAAATATTCAAGATGATGAATAATAAGAACCTACAGCCAAAGATAATCTACTCAGCAAAGCTATCACTCAGAATTGAAGGCCAGATAAAGAGCTTCACTAATAAAAAAAAAAGCTAAAGGAGTTCATCACCACCAAACCAGAATTATATGAATTGCTGAAGGGGGTTCTTTCAGAAGAAAAAGTAAATAAAGATAAAAATTATGAACAACAGCCAAAGCCGGTTTGGCTCAGTGGTAGAGCGTCGGTCTGCGGACTGAAAGGTCCCGGGTTCGATTCCGGTCAGGGGCATGTACATTGGTTACAGGCACATCCCCTGTAGGGGGTGTGCAGGAGGCAGCCGGTCGATGTTTCTCTCTCATCGACGTTTCTAGCTCTCTGTCTCTCTCCCTTCCTCTCTGTAAAAAATCAATAAAATATATTTTAAAAAAAATTATGAACAACAAATACGTAACTATCAACAAGTGAATCTAAAAACCAAGGAAATTAAAAAAAAATCTGATGAACAATATTAACTGTTGAATATAATAGAATCAGAAGTATGGAAGGGGAATGAACTGACGATTCTTGGGGAAAAGAGGAGAGGCGGATGTGGGAAGAGACTGAACATAAACTGTGCACCTATGGATGAGGACAATTGGGGGTGGGGAAAGGGCAGAGGGTGGGGTGGGAACCTGGTGGAGGAGAGCAATAGGGGGGGGGGGGAAAGAGGAACATTTGTAATATGAACAATAAAAATTTATTTAAAACAAAACAAAACAAAACAAAAAAAACAAAATAGACTGATTCAGGCTGTGGTATTTTGTGGAAGAGCCACACTCAAAGGGCCAAAGAACCACATGTGGCTCGTGAGCTGTGGTTTGCTGACCACTAGACTAGAGGATTGCAAGAATCAAGTCAAAGATTTGAAATACAAAGAAGCAAAAAACACCCAACTGGAAAAGCAAAAAGAAAAAAATCCAAAAACATGAAGGTGTTAAGCCTCTGGGGCAACTTCAAGCATACCAACATCCGAATTATGGGAGTGTCAGAAGAAGAGAGAGAGCAAAATATTGAAAACCTATTTGAAGAAATAATGACAGAAAACTTCCCCTACCTGGTGAAAGAAGTAGACTTACAACTTCAGGAAGCACAGAGAACCCCAACAAAAGCTCTCCACTGTTTGGGCAGTGCTGTGCCGCAGGCTTCATGCCTGTCAGTCATGTCTCTGGAGACCCCTTACCCCATAGGTGTGCGAGTGTGTGTATACATGGGTATACACCGGTGTACACACGTTGCATAGGTTTGCTCCTTTAAGCTTGACTTCTCAAAGGATGCACACAAAATGAATTATAGTCACCACAAGGAAGGAGTTTGAGTGGCTGGGCAATAGGGTGGACAGTCACTGTGTAGACTTTCTTATTTATTAAACCACATGAATGTGGTTACCTGCTCAAAAAACCAAAAGAGAAACAATTTAGAAACTATAGAGAAAGGAGTTCGCCCTCTAATCTCTGGTTTTATTAAGTCAATAAAATAAGGGGCAGGAAAGTGAATTCAGTAGGTTTCCTTCTGTTTAAACACGCCTGTGTGTGTATGTGTGTTGTGTGAGAAAGATCAGATATTTGCTTTTATATGCAAAGACCTTCTAGAAACAGACACAGCTTGTTAGAGGAGCTGAGGGATCAGGAGGCGAGGGGAGAGCAAGCGGTGGGGAGGGAAGGGATGGCAGCGGCCGTGGGGGGTGGGGAGATGGCTTTTACTCTGCCCTTTTATCCTCTTTAAAGTGGGGGCAGTATGTTATTCTCAAGTTGGATGACTGGGCAGGGAACTTACTTTGGCAAATGCCGCATCTATCTAATAATATGTATCAGTTATCTACTCAGTGCTTGATGCCAGCCCACAGCATGAGGAAGCTGGCTGCCCTGGGGTGTCTGTAACCTGTGGCTCGTGGGGGTGGACACTGCATGGTCATTGGTTGCCTGCCTGCCTCTGGCTGGGAAGTCCCTGCAGAGCAGGTTTGGCCTGTCTCCTCGGAGTTGACTTCACCTGTTCTGTTCAGGGCACCATTGACCACAGAAGATGCCGCCTGTCTGCAGAGCACACAGCAAGAGGACGGGGCTTCAGAGAGAGGTGCCGACTCCGGAACGAACTTAGAAAACCGGAAGCATGGTTGGTTATGTAAAGGATGGTTAACAAAATCATTATTAGAAACTAGAGGCCAGGTGCACGAAATTTGTGCATGGGGGGGAGGAGTGTCTCTTGGCCCAGCCTTTACCTTCTTCAATCTGGGACCCCTAGAGGGATGTCCAACTGCCTGTAGGCCTAAATGGGCAGTCGGACATCCCTTTCACAATCCAGGACTGCTGGCTCCCAACTGCTCACCTGCCTGTCTTCCTGATTGCCCCTAACCGCATCTGGCTGCCAGCCTGACCACCCCCTAACCACTCCCTGTCAGTCTGTTTGCCCCTAACTGCTCTCCCCTGCAGACTTGATTGCCCACAACTGCCCTCCCTTGCAGGCCTGGTCCAGCCCAACTTCCCTCCTCTGCTGGCTATCTTGTGGTGGCCATTTTGTGTCCACATGGGGGCAGCCATCTTTGACCCCATGGGGGCATCCATTTTGTGTGTTGGAGTGATAGTCAATTTGCATATTACTCTTTTATTAGATAGGATAGAGTCCTGGAGCTCGGGTAGGGGCCAGCTGGTTTGCCCTGAAGGGTGTCCCTGATTAGGGTGGGGGTTCCCTTGGGGCATGGTGCAGCCTGGAGTGAGGGGCCTGTGGTGGTTTGCAGGTGCCATGCCCCCTGGAGACCTAAGTTGAGGCCCTGATATCTGGGATTTATTTATCTTCTATAATTGAAACTTTGTAGCCTTGAGTGGAGGCCAAGGCAGGCCAGGGATGCGGAAGCTTGGCTTCCTCCATTGCTGAGGAAAACAAACCTTCCTGCTCGCTCCATGGCCACAGCCAATTTGGTTGGGTTAATTTGCATACACACTCCTGATTGGCTGGTGGGTGTGGCTTGTAGGTATAGTGGAAGTACAGTCAATTTGCATGTTACTCTTTTATTAGGATGTTCCACTGTATAGGCTCTCCATTTTTAGATGAATTATAGAGAAGGTGATTGCCCAAACTTCCTATTTTTGTCAATTCAGCTTCCAGTAGTGTTTTGTTTTTTGGGGGATGACTTTTTTACTTATTGTTTGAGGTATAAGGTTCATTCAGTAAAGTTTACACCACTCACCAGATATTTTTACATGTGTGTATGTCCAGCAACCAGGCCAAGAACGTGTCCAGAACCCCAGAGTCTTCCTTAGGCTCCTTCCTTGTCTGGAACCTTACCCAGTAACCGCTATTCTGACTTCTGTCACCATCAGTTTTGCTGAAGCACATAGTATACACTCTTGTGGCTTCTTCATTCAGCATATGTCTGGGAAATTCATCTATATAGATAATTGTGTAGCAGTGTATTTTTTTTTTTATTTTTTTTTTTGCTGAGATTTTCCTGTGCTATGAATATACCACAGTTCATCAATTCACCTATTGGTCGATGATGTTATTTTGTTTTTTTTAATCTTAATTCTTTATTGTTGAAAGTATTACATATGTCCCTCTTTTTCCCCCATTGACTCCCTTCAGCTCACCCCTGCCCCCAACCCCTGCCCCTCACTGCCCCATTGTCTTGTTGTTTGCAGTTTTTGATTATTGTTATTTAAGTTGCTATGGACACAGTCTTCAGATAGAAGCTTCAAATATTTTAGATGGAGAAGTTTAGTAGCTTTGTTTTAGAAAGTGCTATGCTTAGTGTTGTTCCTTGAGTGTTCTCCTTCTGTTGTGGAAGTCACCTTAGTGGGTTCTAGCAGGTGGAGACAGTGGAGGAGCCTGAACACATGTGTCCTGCAGCCATCGGTTGCAATGTGGGTGCTTTTCAGAGAGTAACCTTAGCTTCCCAGTTGTTTAATTGTTCGGTTTGTCAAAGCCTGTTTTCATTAGTTTTACTAAGTGAAGTGTGTTTCAGTTTTTTTAATTATCTTTGCAGCTGTACACTTAAGTTACTAAGAAATTTATGCTCTTAGGGAGTACTTCCTCAGCTAAAAGTTGCATAAAGTGCAAAAAATGTAGGTAAATGTTAAATTATGGAGTTGCATATAAATAACCTCTGGGGAAATGTGACCTTTGTTCAGAAGCTTCACCTGGATACACTGGAGATGCTTCCGAGAACAGAGCTGTGGAACCTCTGCAAAGGTATGGCTGCCCCTCCCTCGGCGCTCCCCGCCCTCCCCCGGCGATGGTGGTGAGATGTCAGCCTTTTCTTTCCTCCAGCTTCCACCCCCCAGTTCAGTGGTTCCAAAAAGATGATGTGGTCATATTGAAGATAAGACTAAGGAATGTAAAAGATTACAAGTGCAAATATTTTAGAGACAGAGTCATTTTCAGGTAGGTCTATGTAAATCTTACAAAATAAAATAGAAATAATTCCCAACATTTTAAAAATCTGACTTTTTTTTTTGTAAACCTAGTGCCTGGGTAGGAGAAAAATTTTACTTGGCTGATTTGGAGTTGCAGGCCAACATAATAAAGGACGATTGCAAATGCATAATTAAAAACGAGGAACCTATAATCACTCTTGTAAAAGAGAGAAGGGAGTCTTGGTGTAGCTTACTCAGACAGAGGGTAAGTTGAAATTAACTGGCTGATCTTAACCTGAGCGTGTGTTATTTTCTCACTTAATGTACATTTTTATTGAACAGAATCCTAATGTGACTTTCGATTTTGATCATTGGGAAGAATGTGAAGAGGAGAGCCACTTCTCCAAGGGTAAGAGGGGATGTCCCCGCCCCTAGAGGGCGGGGAGGGGTCCTGAGTGCCTCAGGCGGACAGAGTCACTCGGCTGATTTTAGGAATGTGTGGCCTTTGGAAGGATTAGCTTTCTTCCTGTTGTTGATCTTGATGCTACATGTTCCAACTTGAGGAGCTATCAATTATTATAACATACCTTTTTTATTAAATATATTTTTATTGATTTCAGAGAGGAAGAGAGAGATAGAAACATCAATGATGAAAGAGAATCATTGATTGGCTGCCTCCTGCAGGTTGGACTGAGCCCACAACCCAGGCATTTGCCCTTGACCGGAATGGAACCTGGGATCCTTCCATCGCAGGCCGATGCTCTATCCACTGAGCCAAATTGGTTAGGACAACATACCTTCTTGTAACACATTTTACAGGTAGTTTTCCTAGGAGAAAATTTAATTTATAAGCAGGTGAATTTTACCTGTTCATTTCCTGCCCAAAATAATGAAATTATAAAATAAGTTGCAAAATTGATAGAGGTAGAGCTCAAGAGACTTTTTCTACATTGACCAGAATAATAGGAGGGGAAAGGATTTGCTAATTAGCCCTTAGTTAACACGTTTTAAAATAATATCTGTCTCTTTTAGTTGTAACATCTAAAAACCTGTCCTGCAAAGTGGCGGAAGTGGTTGAGAGCAGTGACCAGACTTCGGAGGATGAGGAGACTGAGAGTGACTGAGCCTGTGGGCCCAGTTCTGAGGCGGACAAGGGACCACTGAGTGACTGGACGTTAGAGAACAGCAGTCACGTTCACACCTTTTTATTAGTAGGGGTCATCTGGCGGTGCTGGGATTGGTAATGGTGAGAAATTCTGAATCTATTTAAAAATGGGCTGCAGGTCTGGGCCTGGTAGCTTAGTTGGTTAGAGCAGTGGTCGGCAAACTCATTAGTCAACAGAGCCAAATATCAACAGTACAACGATTGAAATTTCTTTTGAGAGCCTAATTTTTTAAACTTAAACTTCTAACGCCACTTCTTCAAAATAGACTTGCCCAGGCCAAGTGGAAGAGCCACACTCAAGAGGCCAAAGAGCGGCATGAGGCTCTCGAGCCTCAGTTTGCAGATCACTGGATTAGAGCGTCATCCTGATATGCCAAGGTTGTGGGTTCGATCCCCAGTCAGGGCACATACAAGAATCAACCATTGAATGCATAAATAAGTGGAACAGCAGATCGATGTTTCTTTCTCGAATTAATAAAAAAAAAAAAATGTTAAAAAAGGACTGAAGATGAGACTATGAAGGAGGTGGGAGCGGAGACGGGAATGCTGGTCTAACAACCCCTTTTCCCCGCTGTACTGCTCATTGCATCATTGCGTCATTCTAAGCCCATCCTGACATATCCCAGTTGAATGACAAAGAGCACTTAGCTTTTGGATAATGAACTGTACTATCTGGAGCTAGTCTATTTTTTTTTTTCTTCATTTAAACCTATGTTTGGTGCATTCCTAAAAACATGTTGTGTATATAAATTGAAGTTTCTGTCTCATAAATCCATACTTGGCAGTGCTTAACAGATCCTTTCAGCCATGAGTTAGTTGGGATTCAAACTTGCAGTAGCACCTCTGTTGTCCTTAAGGTATTGATTGCTGCTCCGGGCAAGTTTACTTAATATAAAGATATTTCAGGGATAAAAATGGGGTGGCCTCAGCAATACCAGCCAGACCCAACACTTTCTGGAGGTAAGCTACTGCTCCGGCAGGACCCTCTGAACCTGCGGAGTCCTGGGCCAGTGGGACAAAGGTTCCCCTTCAGTGGAAACGGAAAAGGACCTGTGCGCTGCCTGCAGGTAACCCTCAGGACACCTGGATGTGATGGCCCTGAAAACACTCCCGGCCCCATTCTGGGGCCGTGGGCCCAGGTTCACAAGACACTTGGCAGGAAGGTGTCCTGCCTCGACCCCTTAACCCTGGTGCCCAGAGCTGACTTTGCCTGTGACTTGGAAAAGGTAGAGAGAGCCGCTGTGCACATCTTCAATGCTGTGCACGTCTCCATTCGGGGTGAGTCTGCAGCCGCCCCCACAGGTGGAAGAGCGGCTGCTGGAATGCGACGGTGCGCCTGGCCCGAGGTCTTTAGTCTCATAGGCCAGAACGCACAGATGCTCGGGCGCTGCATCTCCCAGGTGGGAGCACCGGGAGAAAGAGGTAATCTTCTCACCAGGCTGACCCGTGGGCAGGTTGGATCCCACTCTGGCTCAGTTTCCTCATCTGTAAAACAAGACCACCTGCTTACCACGCTGCCCCTCCTCGGGAGGTGCCCGGAGCGCTGCTGCTCAGGGCTTCTGTTGTGGGAGGCGGCTCCGAGCAGGAGGTCAGACCACTGCCCTGGCAGGAGGACACGGTGCGCAGCCTGGATGGTGGCCAGAGCACAGGAAACAGGAAGCTCTGTGTCTTTGCTGGCAAAGGTTTGGGCTGCATGAGGGTCGGTGTCTGGGCACAGCCTTAGCTGCGGCTACAGGAGGCCGTGGGGTGGCGGCCAGCCTCCTGAGCTGCCCTGGCTTTCCCTGGCTTGTCGGCCAGCTGCAGTGATGCTCAGTGTATGTAGGCTCTTGTAAAATATAGCAAATAGCAAGTAATGGAGCTGCACAAATGTGTTCCCATGTGCAGATGCTGGGGGCCTGCTCTCAAAGACGACGGAATGCTCACTCACTGTGGTTCACAAACAGCTAAATGAAAGTACGGGGAGGCCCTGGCCGGGTGGCTGTGTTGGTTGGAGTGTTGACCTCTATACCAAAAGGTTGTGGGTTCAATTCCCAGTCAGGGCACATACTTAGCAGATTTGATCCCCAATCAGGGCACTTAGGGGAGACAACTAATTGATGGTTCTCTCGCACATTCATGTTTCTCTCTCTCCCTTCCTCTAAAATAAATAAGACAAAACAAAACATGTCCTCAGGTGAGGATTAAAAAAATAAATTACAGGGGAGGAGGCTTAAACTAACCTTCATTTATTTTTTCAGACATTTATATTTACTGTTTGAAGATCTAAATAACGTTTTGCAGGACATAGGACACTGACTTGTGAAATGTAAACAACTACTAATTGTTTTTTTTTTGTACTGATTTCATGTTTGGGAAAGATTTCTGAAATATAAGGTAAAAGTACGTTGTCTTTATGTTTCTAAAATCGTTCCCATATTTAGTTGTGTGATCTCTTTTGAAGTATATCAATAAAATTAGTGTTTTCACAGAAGTGTTTATTCTTAAATTCTTTTAGACAACATTTCCCTGAGTGCCAAATGCAAAACAAAATTTTATTCACCGTGCTTTCTTGTTTGACCAAAACACCAGTGGAGGCTGTTGGGGAGCCGGGATGCTGACCGCTGGTTGCAGCGCCCTCAGTTCCCACGGTTAGCTCTGCAGTGGGGCCGCGACATCCCGCCTGGGACAGGCCTGCCGTGCACGTCCCAGGTTAAATATGGGGGCGGCACTAAGTTTCACCAGTTTCTTGTATTCCTTTTGATCACTAAGTTTAAAGACACCCTTATTTAAGGAGGTGTGATCTGCCCCTTGGTAAAGAGTCGCCGCCCAGTGGTGGTAGTTTTTAATCCAGCCCTCCCCTAGTCATCAGCCTCTGGAAGTGACATCTTCGCCTGTTAGTTTAGCTAGCACCCCCCTTGAGAATTAAGAATATCTAAAAATACCACTATTATAGACATCGCAATACATTTTTTTTTCTTAAGAAAACATCAGAAAGAAGTACTTGCAGATATTGCTTACAAAATAAACACATCACTGCTGGACCTGCTGCAGGCGACTGAGTCTGTTACTCTGGAGCTTCCTCTGCTGGGACAACTTCCATCAGCATCTGAAGGTGCATGGTGATGGGCTCTGGAGGAGAGTTGGAAAGTGCAGTTAGGAAGCTAATGAAACGAGCAGGCTTATTGGTGAGCAGTCCTGCTGTGACTCTGCGGTGCTGGGAGGCAGGCAGAGCCATCCTGGCAGCTCAGTGGTGGTTTGGCACAAATTATTTCCCCAAAAGCATTAGAGACCTGCTAAATATTTTATTGCCACCAAACAATTTGTAGGAAAAATATGAATGACCCAAGTATATGCATATGTTTACCACTGACCAATGGTTGAATATGAATCTGAAATCACTGAAGACTTTATCTTGTTTAAAACACAAATTGTTCACTCTTTTCACCTGTTTAATTCCAACGTCTTAACTGGTTTTTGTAGGGAGCAGCTTGGCTAAATATTCTAAAGCTGAGAGGACATGTTTCGGGGGAGGTGGAAGAGGGTATCGGGCATAAGTGGTGATGAAAGGAGAAGTGATTGACTTGGCGTGGTGACACGGTACAATATACAGATGAAGTATTATAGAGTTGTACAGCTGACACATTTAATTTTATTAATGTCACCCCAATAGAGTCAATAAATAGTACAGTATGTGGGGGGATGACATATTTTGTACCTGGCTAGATTCTCTGTCAGCATGATCAAATGCAAGTTTATTTTCCAAGGCATGGGGGGAAATAGCTGCTTTTTAAATAGTAATAAATTATCTTTCCTTCCTATGGTACTATGTCTGCAATTCCTCTCTCAGTTTATGGTTAAAGAGGTTGGGATGGGGTGAGCCATTTCAGGAAAGGAGAAAAGTCCTTGGTGGAAATATAAAGCTAGATTTCGCTTTTTGGTTCACTTTGTTAATCAACATGAAAGAGATCCTCTCTTCCTTATGACAGGACGGTCAGGTAAGTGGTGGAACCTGGTTCCACAGAGGAGGACATGGAGGCTGAGAGAGGACCTGGAACTTGCCCAAGCTCTAGACATTTTCGTCTAAGAGCTCAGAGTGAATAAACCTCACCCAGGGGGTTTGCTCTTTCCTACCTTTACTTCGCATGCCTATCTAAGTTCATTTATATAAGTAACCACGTGGGCATGTCTGAAGAGAGGATTGTACTTCCCTGTTCAGATAAGCTGAAGGAGAAAGGAAGAGAAAGATTTTTAATCACATTCACTCAATAAATGTTGAATAGCTTCAGCCAAATCCCTGCCTTTAGGAACTCTGGTACAGGGAGAAGGAGACCAGGAAATACCCATCATGCTCAGGGCCTGGAGGCTTTTATAGCTGGAGTTCCCTGCAGTGGGATGTGCCAAAGAGATGACACCTGGTGAGCATCATACGCACTGATGTACTGCCGAGTCTCCATGATGTACTTTGGCGCTACTTTCTTTTTTCAAAGTGAAAGTGGTTATATAGTTAAACTTTTAAACAAGTGCCTTATAATAGACTAGAGGCCCAGTACATGAAATGCGTGCATGGGTAGGGGTCTCTAGGCCTGGCCGGCAATCAGAACCAATTTATGGGGTGACTGGCAGGGTGAACAGTGGGTGGACCCCTGGTGGCACCCACCTTGGCCAGCTTGGTGCTGCCCACTCGCTGGCCCTGCCCCCCACTGCTGCTGGTTGCCTCTCTACAGGGCAATCAGGCCCCTGCTCTCACCCACTTTGGCTGGCCTGGGGCCTGCAGGCTGTGGGCAGCTCCTGCATTGAGCGTCTGCTTCCTAATGGTCAGTGTGCATCAGAGCAACTGGTGGTTCTTTCGTTTGGTCGATTTGCATATTAGGCTTTTATTGTATAAGATGAAGACCCAGGATTGCTGAGTGGAAAATGAGAGCTGTTGCCTTGGCATTGAAGGCTTGGGCCCTTGTCTCAGCTCTGTCACCTCCTGGGTGTCTCTGGGATGCCTCTGAGCCTCCCAGATGCTGCCTGTGGTTCTCTGCAGTTAGGTGCCCAACAGTGGGGAGAGGCAACACCACTGAACTGTGTGCTTAAAATGGTTAAGATGGTAAGGCTTATCTGTATTTCACAATTTTAAAAAATGGTGCCTTCGCATCTGCTTGTTACAGTAATTGATGGAAACAAGGGAGGAGGCCACAGGTGGACCCCAGAGCTGTCACACTGAGGTTAAGGTGAAATTTGCCTGCTGCCTGAGGTCCTGTGATGGTCCTGGGAGACCCAGGGCCAGTGTGCTCCCCTAATAGAACTGCCTGCCCCTCTGTTGACACTTACTTGAGATTTTCTGAGCCCATCCAAACTTGTAGTGGACAAAAAGGAAGTAAAATATCGTGCCGCTGAGAATAAATAACATGCAATAGAGGTACTCCATTTCGGGTTTGCTGATGATTGGAGCCAAAACCAAGAACACGGATATGAGAGTCACCAAGATGGGGATGAAAATGGGAACCTGTGGGCAAAACAGCACGTGTCATGATTTGGCCATGCACATTCCTTTCGGAAATTTTTATTCAGAACCAAGACATTGATACAGAAAGAAGAATTAATGAAATCCATGTCTCTCCTCCTCTAATTTCAATATTTAATTTTCCCAACTTTATTCTACTTTTTATTTCCTTGGAATACAAAGAAAATGGCAGACTTCCTATTATTTTTAACTAACATTTTCAGTAATCATCTTTAACTGGTAAGGATTTTTTTTTTTTATTGATTTCAGAGAGAAAGGAAGAGAAAGATATAGAAACATCAATGATGAAAGGAAATCATTGATTGGCTGCCTCCTGCACCCCTACTGGCAACCAAGCCTGCAAACCAGGCATGTGCCCTTGACCATAACCAAACCTGGAACGTTTCCGTCTGCAGGCCGACAGTCTATCCACTGAGCCAAACCAGGTAGGTCAGAGATTTTGTTTTTAACATGTTCATTCCCTTCCCTGAATTATTATAATGTATTATTTCAGAGAAGAGTAGGGTCAGGTTGGAAATGTCGCCCTTGGAATTTAAAATAGTTATCCTCCTCTCTAACTCATTTCAAGAAATCGAAGGTATTCGTGTCACTTGGGGCATTAAACCTACCCTGATAGGTCTTTCCAGTTCTTTCCTCGTGAACCTCATCACGATCAGTCCCAGAACCGTCATGCCATAGAACATCCAGGCAGCAAAGCTGAAGTAGTTGACTAAGGAGTTGATATCACCAGGGATGATATAAATGAGGGCTATGATACCCTAGTGGGAAGAAGGACACATTCTTAGGTCATTAGCATATAAGACACCATCTTTATCCCTCCCCGGAGGGATGATGAAGCAGCTTTCCCTGTGGATAAACACCAGCATGGAAGGCAACTGCGTCCCATCATCCCGGGCAATAAATCAGGCTGGCTCTGATGGGTGTTCTCTTCTCGGCCTGGCGGAAAGGATTTGGAAAATGTGTGACTCTTTGAAGCTGTGGTTTTAGGGAGGAACACAACATGTAAGAGTGTGTATATTACACCAGCTTCTTAATTATGAATTTTCCTTCCAGAGAGCTTTTGCCATGGGAAAGGGCCCTGGGCTAGGAAACTCGGGCTGTCGGGTCTGGTCGTGACCTGAACTGTCTGCACCGTGTGAACCCAGATCTTGTGATTCTGGGTCTGTTTCCTCATCGTCAAAAGGAGTAGATGTAGAGAATAGTGGTTCTCTTCTGGGGTGGGTGGAGGAGTCTGGCCCCGAGTTTGAGTGGATGGTCTCGGGGTACCCAAGGCCATTCACGCACAAGGATCCTATGACTTCTAAATTACTAGACCATAATGAGAAGCTGTTGCCAGTAGCTAACTTGTAAATGCCTTACTCTTTCCCTATAATGGTGGTTTGTTACCAGGGGTCTAGGGCAAACAAATGTACATGTAAGAGATATAGAGGATACAAGTTTGGAATGTTCAAACAGTATCTCTCATGGATAAATTCAGAACAAGGAGCCAGAGGTTGAATAACTGTCTGAATTGTCTTGGGCTTTTATTTTATTATTTATTGATTGATTTTAGAGAGAGGAAAGAAGAGAGAGAGAGAGGGACATTGATTTGTTGCTCTACTTACTTATGCATTCATTGGTTGACTCTAGTATGTGCCCTGACTGGATATCGAACCCACAATCTTGGCATATCGAGGCAATGCTTTAACCAACTGAGCTACCTGGCCAGGGCCTTGAACTTTTTTTAATGTATTTGAGGTTGAGGATTAAGAGAACCTGTGTCATTTGAAAACCACTGCACTTAGCAACGGAACTGAGGGACCCTCTGCCCTTAAGGGGGATGTTTTCATGGTGGAATCCATACTCACAATAAAGATGATGGCAGGGGCTGGGGTCAGGCGCTTGACGCTAATGTAAGAGAGCACTTTCAGCATGTGGCCTTCCCGGCCTGCGACGTAAACCAGTCTGGAAAATGCAGAAGTCAGTGGGCTGGCGTGCAGGCTGCTGAACTATCCCTGAGCAAGTATGTCTCAGCTCCCCTTCCTCTCCCCGCCCAGCCAGGCCACAGAGAAGGACTGAGCTGTGACCCTGGTGTTTTCAGGCAGGGCTGGCCTCCGGAGGTGGGTGCGTTTAGCTGAGTGAGGGAGAGAATTGCATCCTGATGCAGTGGAGTCACCTACATGGGGAAACGGTGTGGTGGCTTGGGAGACCCTTTCATTTATTTTTTAATTTTTTAAATTAAGGTATTATATGTGTACATATCTTTCCATTGCCCCCCCACTCCCCCGGGGGTTTTCGTCCATTGGTTTTGTTTATATGTATGCATACAAGTCCTTCGGTTGATCTCTTATCTCCCCCAAATCTCCCTATCTGGGGAGGCCCTTTCAAAGAGGAGATTTCTGAGCTGAGTCCTGAAACTTGTGCAGGAAATAAATGTGAAGTGCCTTAGCCAGTTTTTCTCAGTGGATAGAGCATCAGCCTGCAGATTAAAGGGTCCTGAGTTTGATTCTGGTCAGGGCAGGTAACTTGATTTCAGGCTCCTCCCTGGCCCAGGTCCTGGTTGGGGCTCATGCAGAGGGCAACCAATCTATGTGTCTCTCTCACATCGATGTTACTCTCTGTCTTTCCCTCTCTCCCTTCTACTCTCCTTAAAAATCAATAGAAAAATATCCTCGGTGAGGATTAACAACAACAACAAGGAAGAAAAAAAAAAAAGGAAAAGAAGAAAGATATGTGTAGTCCAGACCCAGGTGACCCCTGGGGGTGTCTGGTGCACTGAAAGGCTGCCAGTTCCATTCCTGCCAGGGCACATGCCCAAGCTCTGGGCTCCATCCCCAGTAGTGAAATATGGTAGCAATCATACTTGGGTAAAAACTGCTGTTTGAATTTTAACCTTGCTATCTGACTTCGACCTTCGATTACTTGCTTAAACAATAGGGTAGTTACAGGAGATTGACTCCCACTGACTCAGTAGCTTCAGGGGTAGAAACTATAGATAACCTTTAGAGATTAACCTTTGAGTTCTGCTTTTGTATTATGGGCAAGATAGGGCCACATTCCAATGTTCCCAGCCTTTAGAATTTAGAACAAAGGGAAATTCCTGTGGTTTGAAGCTTTAAAAAGGATTGCCTACACGTGGATCAGTGCGGTCCTGTGGGGCCCACCTGCCTGTGGTGCTCCTGCGGCCATCCTGGCCAGTTTTTCAATAAACCCTTGCCTGCTTTTTTAATCAATCTTCAGCCTCCGGTGGTCTTATTTTGAACCCAGGGTTCGACCCCACAACAGTAGGAGGCAGCTGATCCCTGTTTCACTCAGTCTTTCCCTATCCCTTCCACTCCCTCTAAAAATCCATAAGAATATTTTTAAAAATTTCAATCAACATAGATACAAGTGAAAAATTAAGGTGAAACTAGATCTAAGTATAAAGCACAGAGAAATGAAAAGTGTGGACAGGAAGTTGAGAAAAGAAACAGGCTGTGGAATGTATGGATGATAATAGCACAGGAAAAGACCTATCAGTGAAACTAAATGAATCAAGTATATTGGAGACGATCATGGTGGCATTTCAAGCCAGTAAGAAAAGAGTGGACTATTCAATAAGAAATACTGGGACAACAGATAAAGATTTGGGGGTGGGATGGAAAGTGAGGTTTATGCCTCACATCCAAATGTACTAGTATTCCAGATTGATCAAAGAACTACAGTAAAATGCTAGAAGAAAATTTGGTGGGTGTTCTTGAAAGGAGAGGAAGGTTTGTCTATGTGAAATAGAAAACTCAGAAACCAACAAGCAAAGATCTTAGATTTGACCCCATAAAAATTACATCCAACATAATCCAGTATATATAAGTCCCGGTCCAACCCCTACTCTGCACAAGTACAGAACTGTCCAAAATTCACTCAAAATGGATCATATGCCTAAATATATTCATTTAGATGAAATGTCTGGAAAACTAAAGTTATAGACACAGAAGCAGATCACTGGTTACCTAGAGCTTGAGGTTAGGCATGAGGGAAATTTTTGAGATGACAGAAATTTTCTAGAATTGCCTTGTGATGATGTTTGCTCAGCATTATAAACTTACTAAAATCCTTGAATTGTGCAATTCCAAAGTGAATTTTATGCTATTTGTACCTCAATAGAGCTATTAAAATTGTGTTTCTATGTAATAGCAATAAACTAACAAACTGTTTGTGTGTTTTTTTACAGTATAAACAATACAATGGGCTCTGGTTAGTGTGTCTCAGTTGGTTGGTTGTGGTCCCTTGCACCAAAGGGTAGCCAATTGGATTCCTGGTCAAGGCACATGCCTGTTTACAGGTTCAATCCCTTGTTAGAATGAGTGTGGGAGGTATCTGATTGATGTTTCTCTCTCTCCCTCCCTCTCCTTTTATCTCTGTCTAAAATAAATAAAAGCATATTAAAACATACAATGACATAAAAAATATGAAATATTTTGAGTAAAGTCTTAAAAATATGTGCAAAAACTGTATACTGAAAACTACTAAAAAGCATTCTTAAAATAGATTTTTATTTATTTCAGAGAGAAAGGGAGAGGGAGAGATGAAACATCAGTGATGAGAGAGAATTATTGATTGGCTGCCTCCTCTATGCTCCCATTGAGGATAAGCCTGCAACTCAAGCATGTGTCCTGACTGGAAATCAAACCTTGACTTTCTGGTTTATAGGTCTACACTCCACTGCTGACCCACACTGGCCAGGCAAAAAACATTTTTGAAAGAAATGAAGGATGACCCAAATAAACGGAGACACAGTCCATACCCATAGATTGGAAGAATCAATACTTTTAAGATGGCCATCCTCTCCAATTGATCTATAGATTAAAAGATTCAAAGTAGTCCTGATCAAAATCCCTGAAGGCTTTTTTAAATAAAGAATTTAATAAGCTAATTCTAAAATTCATGTAGAAATGCAAAGAATCTAGAATAGCCAAAACATCTTTGAAGATGTTTAGTTGTAGGATCAGACTGCCTGTATTCTGATACAACTTTAGAAAGCGATTTTGTGGTAATGTATTTCATTTATTTAAGTATCTAAGTGATTAACATTTGGCAATTTCAAATTCAGAGATATATCCACTCAGAATGCTGAACAACTGGGCAAAAGCATGTTTAACAATGTCCCCTGCAAGCAGCAGCTGCCAGGCTGGGAGCGGCCAGGCCCAGAGCAGCAGCTGCCAGGCTGGGAGCAGCCAGGCCTGGAGCGGCCGGGTTGGGTGTGTCCAGGCCCGGAGCAGCAGCAGCCAAGCCCGAAGCAACCAGGTCGGGAGCGGTGGTGGCCAGACCCAGAGCAGCTGGTTGTGGAACGGACCAGAGCAACAAAGGCCAGGCCTGGAGCAGCCAGGACCGGAACAGCTTGCTCCTCGCCTGCCCCCGCCCCAAGGCTGCCTCTCAGACAAGGCTGGAAACTTTTGCGGGAACTTGAGGGTCTGCTGAATCAAGTGATGAAGGCTTAGATCTGGATATGTTGAGTTAGTATAGCACTGGGGTGTTGATCTGTGAGTGCCTTGGGTGGGGCCTGGATGAAGTTGGTTGACCTATTTGGAAATGTCTTTTGTGTGAAGTGTATCTTTGGGCATGTGGAGGTATTGATGTGAGAAAATGCTAAGTAACTGATTTACTATCTGAAAAGGGATTTACTATTGGGGAAAGGGAGGGAGGAAGAGACTGAACATAAACTGTGCACCTATGGATGAGGACAATGGGGGAGGGGAGGGGGGCGGAGGGCGGGGTGGGAACCTGGTGGAGGGGGGAAGAAATGAGGAACCTTTGTAATAATATGAACAATAAAGATTGATTTTAAAAAAAATGTCCCCTGCAATATATAGGTGGCCAGTAGACATATGAAAAGATGCTCAATATGACTAGTCATCAGAGAAATGCAAACCACAATGAGATATCACCTCACACATTTCAGACTAGCTGTCATCAGAAAAATAAACAAGTGTTGGCAAGGTTATGGAGAAAAAGGCACCAATTGGGAATACCAATTGGTGTAGCCAGTATGGAAAACAGAATGGAGGTTCTTCATAAAATTAAAAGTAGAACTACAATATGACCCTCTTCTGGGTATTTATTTGAAGAAGTCCAAACAGTAATTCAAAAAGATATACACATCCCTACATTCATTTCAGCATTATTTACAAAAGCCAAGATATAGAAGCAACCTAAGTGCTCGTTGATAGATGAATGCATAAAGAGTGTTACATACATGAAGTGGAATATGACTTGGCCGTAAAAAAGAATGAAATCTTACTATCCTAAAAGGTATTATGCTGAGTGGAACAAGTCTGATGGAGAAAGACAAGTACCATATAACTTCATTTATATGTGGAGTCTAAAGAACAAACTAAGTAGAGAAACCAAGATGGCGGCAAAGGTAAATACCTAAACTGCTGCCTCACACAACAATTTCAAAACTACAACTAAAAGCCAAAACTCACATCATCCAGAGCCACAGGAAGGTTGGCTGAGTGGAAATTCTACAACTAGAAGGAAAGAGAAAAGCACACTGAGATTCAGAGGAGCTGTAGAAGGCAGAGGTACCGTGGCACGCATGTGCGTGCACAGAGAGGGTTGGCAACTGAGTACATGGCTAGCTTTCTCAATCGGGAGGGAGACAAAAGCTCCTGACTGCTCTGAATTCCGGTACTGAGCAAAACTCTGGGGACCCAGACTGATACGAGGAGAAACTGGACTGTCAGGAAAGAGAAAAGCACACTGAGACTCAGAGGTATAGGGAGTGGACTGACAATTCTCGGGGGGAAAGAGGTGTGGGAGGTGCGGGAAGAGACTGGACAGAAATTGTACACCTATGGATGAGGACAGTGGGGTGGGATAAGGGCAGAGAGTGGGGTGAGAACCGGGTGGAAGGGCGGTATGGTGTGGGGGAGGAGGAAGAGGAACAATTATAATCTGAACAATAAAGATTTATTTAAAAAATAAAGGAAGAACAAACTAAAACAAAAATATTGAATAGACTGATAAAGAGAACAAAGTGATGGCTGCCAGATGGGAGGGGTTTGGGAGCTGGATGAAAAAGGTAAAGGGATTAAGGAGTAAACATTGGTAGTTACAAAACAGTCACAGGGATGTAAAGTACAGCACAGGAACTATAGTCAATAATTTTATAATAACTGTGTGGTTCTAGGTGGGTCCTAGACTTATTTTTTTAAAATTTTTTTATTTTATTGATTTTTTACAGAGAGGAAGGGAGAGAGATAGAGAGCTAGAAACATAGATGAGAGAGAAACATCAACCAGCTGCCTCCTGCACATCCCCACCGGGAATGTGCCCGCAACCAACGTACATGCCCCTGACCGGAATCAAACCTGGGACCCTTCAGTCCGCAGACCGACGCTCTACCACTGAGCCAAACCGGCTTCGGCAAGGGTCCTAGGCTTATTGGGGACCACTTTATAAGTTATGTAAGTGTCTAACCACTATGTATATCTGAAACTACGATAATATTAAATACCAATTGTAATTGAACTTTTTTTTGGTTAAATTAGAAAAAAAAGAAGCCCTGCAGCAGTGCTTATGAGAATACCCCCACCTAGGCCAGGCGTGGAGTCATGCTAAATGATGCTAATCATAAGTAGATGACATCATCAGTGATAACTGTCTCTAGACCAGGAGGGTCAAGGAGGTTGGCCAGGCTGTGGGTGAAAATAATAACCACTGTTGGCTTTTGTGCTACAGAGATGGAGTTGAAGTCTAAAATATTGGCTGTCTGGCCTTTTAAGGAAAAGTTTGCCAATCCCTGTTCTAGACTGTATATTAGCAGGAGACAATGATCAAGAAATATCATTAGGTAAATAAAAGGACAAAGTGGAAAGACTGCATGTGAACCAAAGCCTCTCTCTCCGTGTCACCAGACGGCCTGGTGCTGGAGTCGTTAGCATTGTTACCCCCAAAGAGGAACCAGGGCCTCTCTTCGGTGGGGCCAGCCACGTCCAGGGCCAGCGTGCAGGCTTGCCCATGCTTTTCACTCCCTTCCCTGGACGTCGGGTTTCCTGCCATGAGGGTTTAGCCTGCAGAGCCCTAAGGAATTAGCCCTGAGGCTGGTGTCCTCCTGTGCAGTCAGCTCTGGTGCCCTTGTCCCTGGGATGAGTATAGGTCACCTACCTGCCCGCTGTAAAGCAGGACCCGTTAGCAGCACCGATGGTTGAAAATGCCACAAAGAGTGGAATGACCCAAGAGGCTGGATAGAGAACACGGTCCCCAAATGTCTAGTGAGAGAAGCAAGATCGAGTCCTGAGGGTCTTGCATGGCTGCTGAGAACCATGGGTCCCAAGAAAGCTGCTGTGCTGCCCCAGAGGCCTGGTCCCCACCCTCAGGGGTGCAGCCCCTGAACCCTCCTGGAGAGGAAAAGCTGGAAACCACCCAGGAGGGATCAACTGGGCCTCTTCTCCTCTCAGAGCATCTCAGCACCTATGGATGGTGACAGAAATCTCCTCTCCACCTCTCCATCATCATTCTCAGGCATCTCCGTCTCGTTTGGACACCGTGGCCTCTCAAAACCTCGGCCCCCTCATTCAGAGTGACTTGTTCTCCCTCGAACTCCGCTGGGTGAACTCATCATAACCAAGACTGCTTCCCCCTGCTCCCACCCTCGTCACCTCATTGTCTGTTTCTAGTTGGTTTCCTCTCCAATCCAGCTCCAAGAGGCCTCCAGTGCATGGACCCACCCACCCTTCTCACTGTCCCTCACACCCCACGTTGTCCTCTCCTCCTTGCCCGGTCTACAGTCCTCATTGCATTATTGTAACTCCCTCCCACAGGGACTCCCTGGCATTTTCCTCTCCCTCCTACTTGTCTGTCACAATCCCGGCCTGCCCCCAGCCACTGCTGTACGGGGAAAGGGACCTGCCAGCCAGCTGGCGGCCCTCAGCCTCAAGTGGGTGTTTGGAGCTGCCCTCACCTGTTCACTCTCCCATCTCCGGGCCAACCGCTCCCCGCCCTGTGATGTGAGGGCTTCGGCTTGAGCGTTTCTCCTCCCACAGAACGCAGCTCCCTCCCACAGAGGCCTGCACTCACCACGGCCACCGCCTGCGACTGCAGGAGCTCGGTCGCTGTCATCACCGTGAAGTAGGACACGTTCATGAGGATGTAGCACCCGGTCACCAGCGGGATCCCGATGATGATAGCCAGGGGCAGGTTTCTGTGAGGGGCAGGGACCCGGGGAGCCGGTGTCAGACCAGAGCAGCCCTCGAGAGACTCACCAGCCTGTTGATCTTGCCCAGTCTTTCCTCCCGCCTGCCCTGGCCAGCCCTCCGTCTGCCCCCGTGGTGGCTGGGACACGGCGGCCCCCCGAGGCCCACCCAGCAGGGCACTCGTGAAAAGCACAGCCCAGCGGCCCGTCGACATCTTCCAATGAGAAAGACCCTCCCTCTGACTCCCAGGCAGTCAATGGAATTGTTCACAAGCAAAACAAGCCAGAGCTAACGTTGGAGTTCCCCCTTCCTATCAGCCATCATCCCACCACCCAAAACCAAACCAAACGCTACGAGTGGAAACGAGGGTATAGGAAACCGGTCAGTGTCAGGCAGGGGTCTGGGATGATGGGAGGAAGTGATTCTCCTTTTACTTGGGCGAGAGAAACATGCTTGCCTGCCCACTGTCTCCAGTCCTGACTCAGTTTTCTCACCTGAAAGGGTTTTTAAGTTCCTCTGTGATGTAATTGAGTTGATTCCTAGAAAGAGAAAAGAAACATCTATATATATAAAACCCTAATATGCAAATATTGTAGATGGAACAGCAGAGCAAGCGAACAACTGGTTGCTATGACATGCGCTGACAGGGGACCTGGCGGGCGTCGGCAGCAGGTGGCGGAGCACGGAACATGGTGGGCCTTGGCCGCAGCAGGATGATGGAACAGGTGAGTGGGGCCACCAGACCATGGCAGGGTGCCGGTTGCTATCATCAGGGTGAGCCTCTGGTGGTTACTGAAAATTCTTTGCTCCTGTGCACCACAGTCCTGCCTGGCACTCGCACCTGCTGCCAGCAACCGAGCCACCGCGAGCATCCGCTGCTGGCGCTGGCCCCAACTGCTCTGCCGTCAGTGGGTGCAAGTGGAGCCGGTGCCATCAGCACGTGGGAGCCGGTGCCGTCAGCACGTGGGAGCCGGTGCCGTCAGCACGTGGGAGCGGCGGGAGTGGGGCTGCTGGCAGACAGGAGACCAGGAGGCTGCAGCAGGAGGAGCCGGGCGGGGGCACGAATGATGGGCTGAGACCGCCCTTGTGCCCACCTCAGCCTCGTGGCCCACAGTTCCTTTCAAGGTGCACGAATTCGTACACTGGACCCCTGTGAGTATCACAATTTGCTGAGGTTGTGAAACACCAAATAGTGAGTGTTGGCCTCGTTTAAGACTCTCCGCCCCAGGGAAGGCGCCCTGCGGGGTTTGGGGTAACTTCCTTCAGAGGAAGCCTGGGCTGCCCGCTGCAGAGATCTGCACGTCCATCGGTTGGGAAGTCTTTGCCCTCCATGGGAATCACGCGACTTTTCAAGAATTATTGGCAGTCTCCCCAAGGCGCTTTGAAAAAATGGAAAATTCTTGGAAAAGAGAATGAAACCTGCAGATGCTGTACATTAGGGAAAGATCATGTCATGGATGGCCACGCTTCTTCCTTGAAGGACATAAGCAGAATCTCACCAACTAAACCTCGGTTTCAAGGGGAAATAGGAGCTGCTGGACACCCCCGCCCGGTCACTCCTGGCGGCCCTGCCTGTCTGCGGGTGGGCTGAGCCTCTGTTTCTGCAGAGCCGCTGGCCCCCGGCCCCACCACTGCCGGCTCGCAGGCCACGCCAGGGGCTGGGGCCACAGAGGGACCGGGAAAGGGGCATGTGTCCCCGGGTCTGAGGAGAACAGAAGGGTGAGGGGGTGCTTAACAAAATGGAGACGATGTGACGGTGAATTTCAGGGTCCCACCAGACCCCAGAAGCCATTGCTTTCCGGGCAGTGCCAGTCGCTAGCCAGGAGAACCCACACCCGGAGGCGCTGCCTTTGCGTGCTTACCATCCGTCGTACGCCCAGAGTCCGTTATAAAACGCCAGGCTGATGGCTCCCACGGACAGCTGTGAGCCCTCAAAAGAATTCTCAAAGTTCTTTGTATTTCCTGTAATGAAGCAGGTAAATAAAGTCGGTATCAGCCGACCAGAGGGGGACTGTGCATCCTCTCCGTGTGAAAGATTCGTGACCTGAGGTTATTAAACAAACTCCGAGAAGCTGGAAAACAAGCTCCTGCTGCGTGTGTGTGTGTGTGTGTGTGTGTGTGTGTCCCGGAGAGATCTGCTCAGCAGGAGACTCCGGAGAGAAGGAGGCCCGTGCTGCGGCGCCCGCCCCGCCCCTCCCGCTGAAGGTCACCTTGAGCCAGGAGGACCAGCCCGCTGACGATGATGACGGCCACGATCACCAGCTTGGCCGCTGTGAACACGTTCTGGACGTAGCTGCCCAGCCGCACGCTCAGCGCATTCACCGTGGTGATGATCACTGGGGAGGGGCAACATGCTGTGTCGGGGTTCAGCATCTCCTCGTCCGAAAGGCCCTGGGAGGAGGCTTCTTTCCAGCCCCCCACCTCCCCTCACAAAGACCTCTGGGATCGGAGGGCGATGGAGAAGCAACCCGGCCCCTCCCGCCGGCCCCGCGGACAGCCAGCGGCGCCCTGGCTGGCAGCTCCCCCAGGGAGGAGCGGGGATGGCAAAGCGGGACGGCTCTGCCCGCCTCGCACCTCCCCCAGGCCCGCTTCTGCACGTGTGGCACCTGAGACCAGAGTCCCCGCCTCGTCTGTGCCAGGTCTTCTCTGACCCCCGCCCACGGCTCGCTCGGGCGTGGGCACTCACAGATGGCAGCGGCGGCCAGGCACTTCACCACCGCTTCCGGGGGCTTACAGCCCGCGTAGAAGGGCGCAGAGGCGTACTCGGCAAAGCTGAGGCAGATGATGGCGAAGGAGGAGGGCTTAATGATGAACAGGCTGGTCCAGGAGAAGAGGTAGGCGGGGATGGGGCCGAAGGCCTCCATCAGGTACGGGTACTCGCCCCCCGACTTGGCGATCATCGTGCCAAGCTCTGCAAAGCACAGAGCACCTGGAACAGAGAGGAGGCCCCAGGCCCCGGTGAGGCGGCCCAGGGAGAGCCCTCCTCCCTCTGGGGGCCATGCTCGCTGGGCCCAGCATGGTCCCCTCATCCGACTGGCCACTGGACACTTGGGCGCAGCCTGACTCACACCTACTGCGCGCCGCACGGGAAGGGACCCCGCGGCCGCAGGGTCAGGGAATGGGATCGCGCTCAGATAGCCCAGCCCCCGAGTCACCAGGAGACCCCGCCAGGGGGCGGCATCTTCGTTACCCAGGGTTGCGAGAATGCCGCACGCCGCCCATATGATGAGACAGGGCCCCACGGCCTCCGTGTTGCTGAGCACAGACTTGGGGGAAATGAAGATCCCAGAGCCGATGATGGTGCCCACGATGATGCAGATGCCGCTGAACAGCCCCACCTTGGGTGTGGAGGAGGGAGAGAGTTAGTCCTGCGCCGGGTCCAGCTCCGATGGCCAGCTGGGTGCAGCCAGCACAGCCCCAGGCGCAGCCCCCTCCCAGGCGCTGCCACCCCGGGCTGCTGCAGGAGTGACCAGGGGCTCTGCTCATACGAAGTCCATTAATCCCCACAGCAGCCTCGTGAGTCCGGAATAGCACATCATACCCGTTTTACAGAAGAGAAAACGGAGGCACAGAAAGGCAGACCTGGTGCAAGTCCCTACACCAGCACTGCGCCTGCTGCCCGGGCCAGAGGGCTCTGACGCTAACGGCTGATTTAGCAAACAGTCCCCAAGGGAAAGGCTGTGGGCACTGAGAAGTACAAATCAGGGTGTAAAGTACAGCATAGGGATATAGTCAATAATGTGATAACTATGTACAGTGCCACGTGGGTACCAGATTTATTGTGGGAACCACTGTGTAAATTACACAAATATCTAACCACTATGCTGTACACCAGAAACTGGTATGAAATAATATTGAACATCAACTATAATTAACAAATTTACTTTTAAAAAGGAAGGCTCTGCTCTAGTCCTAGCTGGTTTGGCTCAGTGGGTAGAGCGTTGGCCTGCGAACTGAAGGGTCCCAGGTTTGATCTGGGTCAAGGGCACATGCCCAGGTTGTGGGCTCACCCCCAGTAGGGGATGTGCAGGAGGCAGCTGATCAACGATTCTCTCACATCACTGATATTTCTCTCTCTCCCTCTCCCTTTCTTTCTGAAATCAATAAAAATATATTTTTAAAAAATTAAAAGGAGGCTGAAGGGACATGCCTGTTCTCGGGGCAGAGCAGAACGGAGCTTCTCCCTCAGAGCTGACAGGGAAATCGGAGCGTGGGGCCGGCCAGGCCGTCACAGGGCCGGGTGGGAGGAGAGCAATGGAGGCCTCCAGGGACAGAAACTCTGGGGCTGTGACCTTTCTGAGGCCATTTTATAAGGTATGTGCTTCCTGCCAAGGCCCAGCTCAGACACACTCTGCTGAGCTCATCCCGTGAGGTTCCAGAACCGGCAGACGGAATCCGTGGGGCAAGAGCTCAGGCAGGCCGCTGGGAACTGGTTAACATAATGGGGGAGATCCGTTTGTCAGAACCAGCAAACTGAGCACTGGAGATCTAGACACTTCGCTGTGTGTGAATTACACATGAACCAAGTAAGAAAAACACTATTTCAAGGAAGAAAGTGTCCGATGCAGGCCCCTGCTTTGAACGTCTGCCCCCAGAAGCCGCCAGCCTGGTGACTGGAGCCCGAGGTGAACGTGCTGTTTGTCTGGGCAGAGGGAGTGCCTCCCCTCAGAGCCCAGAGAACAGAGCTTCCCGGCAGGACACACACACACACACACCCACACACACACACACGCTGGGGGCCCAGGGAGCAGTCAGCCTCTGTTCTGGCCTCAGGGCCGTCTCAGTCTCAGCTTCCCTCCTCTAAGGGCACAGCGTGCTCACTCATGCCCGGGGGTCCTCCAGAACCTCCTGCTGAGGTCTGCCATCACCCCAATTCGCCCGGGCTAGCTCAGCTGTGCTCTTTTTATTTTTGTTTGTATTTATTTATTTATTTATTTATTTATTTATTTATATTTTATTGATTTTTTTTTTTTTACAGAGAGGAAGGGAGAGGGAGAGAGAATTAGAAACATCGATGAGAGAGAAACATCTATTAGCTGCCTCCTGCACACCCCCCTGTGGGCATGTACTTTGGTGCCCACAACCAACGTACATGCCCTTGACTGAAATCAAACCCAGGACCCTTCAGACCGCAGACTGATGCTCTATGCCACATGTGTCAAACACAAGGCCCGCGGGCCAAATCCGTCCCGCCAGGCCTTGCAATGTGGCCCGCACCGCGCTGTCATCACTGCACTCCGCTGCGTTTCCATCACAATGACAGTTTATGACTGTTCAGTAAACCATTCGGCCCGCGATTTAGGCTGGATTTTAGATTTTGGCCCCTTCTCTGATTGAGTTCGACACCCCCCACTGAGCCAAACCGGTTTCGGCTGTGTTCTTTTTATGAAGGAAGGCTGTTACTGCCTGTCAGCAGACTCCTGGGGCCCTCAGATTCCAGGCCAACCCTCAGTCAGTCCAAGCCACCCCCTCTCAACTCCCAGGTCCCTCCTCCCTCTGCTGCCAGGAGTGGGCGCCTCTGCCCAGAGCTCAGCCCACTTGCCCTGCTCTCCTGCTCTGGAAGCCGCTCTGGGCTCCCATGACCCCCCAGGAGCCTGCAGCCTGTTCCTCCCCGGCACCCCCCATAGCTCCCTCCACTGGGACCAGCTGCTCCCTGCTCAGTATGGGGCATCTGGCTCCTTTTTGCCTCTGCCCCCATCCTCTCCCCACCCTCACCCCACAATGTCAGCCCCATCTCACACCAGCGCTGGGCCCCCAAGACTGCAGATACCTCCCCGTCCAGCCCTGATTATATCCCAGTCAGAGCGCTCCCCTATGGCACACCCGTGCCAGGCTCACCACCCAGCCAGGCTGACTAAGCAGGAGGGGGAGTTTCTTAGCACTGGATCCAGGGGGACAGGCATTGGTGAACGTTACAGAGGAAGCTCAAACATCAAAGCGCCTCTGACCACCCCGGAGAGGCCATGGGGCTGAGCGTACACCAGCTCCTCCAGGCACGCCCAGTGCACACCTATCAACAAGAATGTGCTGAGCTCACTGGCGGGAGGGGAGGAAGTTAAGTGCAAAGTTGTGTTCCTTCAGAGATGAGATGCGCTTTTCCAATCAGAGGTCAGGGCCTTTCCCCGCCTGCACCCCGGGGCCACGCCCCAGCATCGGCTCCGCCTTACCTCCTTTTGGAGACTTGTGGTCTTGGGTTCATTACTCTGGATGGACTTCTGATCCTCTCTCCTTTTCCTCAGGCTCGTCTCCTCCATCGTTGCCTCCTGCCAGCTCTAAGAGGCTGCGAGGAGGGCGTGGGCCTGATTCAGCAAATGCCCAGCAGATGGGCGCCAGGGGAGCTCGGGGGTCCTGCCCGGCCAGTGCCCTGGCTGTGGGAACTGACTCCGAAAGCAGATCAGAGCTGCTGTCTCAGGGAATGATCTCAGCCCCCCAGTAAGTTTTCCTGCGTGCCATGCAGGCCTCCCTCGGCACAGGCTCCGGGCTGTCTCCTAACCCCCCTGCCAGGCGCCTGCCCCTCCGGGCTGAGCCTCAGCAACGACACGCGTGGAAGCCATTCTAGCTGCATGGTCCAACTCCATTTTTCCCAAAGTAAAAAGGAACTTTGTATTTACTAGTAAATATGGGTTTACTGAGTAGAACCTCATTCCCCGAAGGAACATTGTTCTCAGAATTACTTCCTCGCACATAACAGATCCACCAGGTAGGTGTCTTCCGCCGAAGGATGCGAGACAAGGAAAATATGCGGAGGAGAACGAGCTCGAGGCGCCCCTCGTGGATGGTCCTGCCCGTCCCTGTTCTGTAAACCAGGTCCCACCCAGCCCGAGGCGAGGAAGCGGCCCGCCGCCCGCCGCCATCGGCCTTACCTTCTCACTCTGTGGAGCCCGTGAGGAGTGCCTGTGTCTGCACGGCTGAGCCCGGGAATGGCCATGTCTTGTGGCCAGGAGTGGAGGAAGCCAGAAGGTACAGAGGTCAACAAAGGTAATAATTAAACACTTTTTTTTCCCCTTAAGAAATGAAGTTTGGATGATATTCTAACACCACACCAAGAGGGGAGAGCCAGGCAAGCCAGTGTCTCTCCAGAAACGTTTATGTTTCGTTCATTTGTGTCTAGATCAACTTTCCCCCTCTGCTGGCTTCCCCCCCATCAGCAACATCTCGTAAGAAGAAATCTCTGTAAAGACGGGAACCCGAGGAAATAAACTTTGGAACCAACTCTTTTATTACTTAATAGGCTGCATTTACAACTCCAGCCAGGCAGCACGGAGCTTGTAACTCCCCTGTCAGAACAGATGTAACTCCCCGGGGCCTCGTTCTGACCAGGCGGGTGGGAGGGTGGCGAGTCCGTCCTGCTCCTGTTTGCCAGGGACTGGGTTTGGCCCCTCCTGGACCTCTGAGGGCGCTGGGCGCATGCAGAGTCAGCAGTGCAGCTCCCTACGGGTCCCAGCCCACCTGCCCCCGCCCCTGCCCCAGCACCCACACCCGCACCCAAACCCCCTCGCTGGTTCAGTTCGAGGTGCCGCAGTAAAGTAGCCGGTGTTCACCGCTGTGGGTGGAAGAGGGCCGCCCGCAGTGACATCCACGCGCGCCCGGCCCAGGCTCTGATTCCCAGCGAGACCCACTGCGCCTGGGCCGGAGGAACCGGGTGCCCCTGCCTGCTCTCCCCTCCACCACAGGACTAGTCTCAGGAGAGAGAGACCTACATTACCAGACATCCTGAAAAGAGAGACCATGGGGAGACAAAGAAACAGCCCACATATGAAAGAAAAGCGGGCAACACCAGAAAAGGAAGTAAACGAGTTAGAGGCAAGCAACCTACCAGAGCAAGAATTCAGAGTAATGATCATAAGATGGCTAAAAAGAATGGAAGACAAATTTGACAATAGGAGCAAGAACCAAGAGGAAATGAAGAAGAACCAAGAGGAAATGAAAAATGACATCGATACTGTAAAGAACTCAATAGAAAGCATCAAAAGTAGGCCAGAAGAAGCAGAGGACCGAATCAGTGAGCTAGAGGACAAGATGGAAAAAAAAAAAAAATACCCAATTAGAGCAGCTTCTAGAGTGGAAGAGGGGGAGAGACATCATCAGCTTCACCCTCTCACTTACCGAATGGGGAAACCGAGGCCCTGAGGCCACCGGGCTCCGCCCTGCCCGGAGGTCTGGCTCTGGGGGCAGAGGTGCTGCAGCGGTGCATCCAGCGGGGGCAGACCCACCCTTCCCGGTGCAGCTTGAGCCCCTCACCTCAGAGAGGCCTCCTGTGGGCTGGGGGAGCCCGGCTGTGGCAGGGCCAGTTACCACAGCCGGCTCCCCGTGGGGTAAGTTTAACAGCATTCCAGAGGTCCGGCTGAGGCCAAAGGTCACGGACAGAGCTGAGTGGGTGCCCGGGGTTCCTTAGGGAACATTTGGGACAGGCTGCCCGGGGAGAAGGGCAGGTTTCTCTGGTTGTCTCTTAAAGCCCCCGGGAGGACGTGGGGACCCTTCGGTCCCAGAGTCAGGGGCCTGACGAAGAAATGTGTTGCCTGCCCCCTTGAGAGGCCACACCTACTTGTCGGGGTGCCCACCAGTCTGCCCACCAAGGCCGGAGCCCCCCACAGAGCGCTCCTTCCTGGGCTCCCCACCAGGACACAGAGGCCAGAGGTCAGGGTGGGACCTGCCCACCCCAGAAGGACCTGCCGCGGGCTCGCCGGAGGCAGCTCTGCACGCCGCCAGCCCTCCTAATCCCAGCCCTGCAGACTGTCCCTGCCTCCCGGTGGCCGCAGAGGCTGATATCCTAACAGCAGCCAAGAGAGGGGGCGGGGGGGGGGCGGGTAGAAAGCACCCCCACCAGACACGTGGCTTCAGAGTCACTTAGCCTCTCTCCACGAATCGAGCTCTGCATGTGTGCCGGGGGCTGCTAGGAGCCCCCCAGGCCCCCCCGGACCAGTGAGGACACGGGACGGCTCACTCAGTTAGCGCAGAGGCTCCCTGCCTCCTGGGCCTCTGAAGGCCTGAGTTTGGGAATTCTGGGGTGACGATCCTCTGTTGAGGGTCAGAAGTATATTTCAGTTAAATTTTGGTCCATCGTGAGCATTTCTTTTTAGGATGTATTTTTATTGATTTCAGAGGGGAAGAGAGGGAGAGGGAGATAATGTGGTGTGCCCCGAGAATCGCACAAAGGACGCCTCAATCAAGAAGTCAAATTAAGGAGTCAGCTCGGCGGGCGTTATGGCTCCAAATCTCGCAGCCCCGATCCAGAGCAGCAGCCAGCTTATAAAGGCGAACACCACATCCTGCGAGACATTGGAAAGTGGAATTATCTTGCAAAAGCAATCTTTCAGAAGCAAAGTTGAGCAAAATTAATAGTCTCTAAAGGTTATCTATAGTTTCAGTCCCTGGAGCACTGAGCCGTCGGAAAGTATTCCCGGAGCCCTGGAGACAAGGAAAGCACTTTGTGGTTCTGGTCCCAGCACAGGAGGATAACCTTTGTGATGTGGGCTGGCAACCCACTGGGGTGATGCATGTGAGCTCCCAGGTCTCAAACTGGAAACTGAGGCAACTGCCCTATTGTTTAAGCAAGCAATAGGGTGTGTACAGAAGCCAGAATGGCAGGGTTAAAATTCAAACAGCAGTTTTTACTCGAGATGAATGTTACCATGCTTCACTGCTTCAATAGAAACATCAGTGATGAGAGGGAATTGTTGATCCATCAGCTGCCTCCTGCACGCCCCACACTGGGGATTGAGCCAGCAACCCGGGCATGTGCCCCGACTAGGAACTGAGCAGTGACCTCACAGTTCATAGGTTGTTGGTCGATCCATGAGCCACACCAGCTGGGCAGCGTTTCTTTTCTTGAAGCTGTTGTTTCTTTTTGTTGTTGTTGTTTTTTTCTTAGCAGAGTGAATGTTCAACCAATTATTATGCCTTCCCTCCACCCCTGAAAAGTAATCTGGATTTATTTTAAAAACACATCCCTCCCCCCAAATTCTTCAAAATCTTTGGCTCATTTTGTGTCTCATTCTTTTACCACCGGGCTGATATTTTACCTCATTGCAGTCTTACGGCTCATTTCCTAGGAAGTTTCATGTTATTTTTTCTGTAAATTCTACTGTTTACATTCCTGCCAAAGCGTTTGACCTTCACTTTCAAATTGTGTTTTTTTTCGATTGCAAAGGTGCTTGCTGTTTGAAGATATGAACACCACCTGCATTTTGTTTTGTCATCGTTTATTTGATGCATATTTGGGTCCCTTCTCCTGGGATGGTTTTAATTTTATCTATTTAAAAAGTATTTTATTGGTTTCAGAGAGGAAGGGAGGAGAGACAGAAACATCTACGACGAGATCGAATCATTGTGCCCTGATGGGGAATCAAACCTTGACCTTCATAGGTTGATGCTCAACCACCTAGGCATGCTGGCCAGGCTCCTGGGATGGTTTTAAAGCTGCGTCTCCTCAGCCTCCTGGCATCGCACTCTCTGGTTCATCTTCCTCCACGGACAGGCAGAGCCTTACATATCTGCTGGCTCTTCCTCTAAGACTGAAAGTCTGTTCCAGATCTGCTTCTGATTGTCAGACTTTCTTCCGTTCCTAAGTTCTCTGGTTCCTGCATCCCTTCCTGCTGGGGGATCCAGAAGACCAGGTAGCAGGCGATCACCTGCCTACCTGAATGCCAACCAGAAGAACCAAGGAGTCAGGGGAGTGAGCAAAGTCTCTCGGTGTCAAGGATTTACAGTCCAACCACCAAACAATCCACAAGGAAAGTACAATTTAAAACTCTTATCTGGGAAACAATCTAAATCTAAATATATCTGGGAACTACAGAATAGTGCAATACTACCTTTGAACTTTGTCCATGTAGTTTTTTTATATATATATTTTTTGTGTCCATGTATTTTTGAGATATAATCGACATATCTTCATTTCAAGGTGCAAGACATGTTTTAATATTTGTATATATTGCAAAATGATCACCACAGTGTTAGGGACAGAAATAAAATACGAGGGACTAACTATAGTTATAAGAAGTATTAATCATGCTCTATTAACTGTGATTGTTCTGTTCTGAATATAGACAGCCTGTTCTGACCGGCTGGGAGTTATACGCCCAGCACTTGGAGTTAACCTTGGAATGCAGTCCATTCTCCTTATCTGAGAACTGCCTATCTTCATGGAAAGATCAACAACCTTGTTGCCAAAACAATGGAGTCCCAGACCTGCCCACCCTTTGCAACCTCCAGCCCACAGTCCTGTAACCTCAACCATTATACCTGGCCTACTTTGCCAGGCCTGTAATTCCTACTTTCCCATCTACTCTTTGTCCTTCTGCCCAATATAAGCAGCTGGCTTCTGGGGTCGGGGTGGGGATGAGGTAAGCAGATTTTCATGGATGACCTGCTCCTCTCCATACTGCTGGAATAAATGCTCATACATGATTCAACACTGTCTCTTTTAATTGGCTCCAGTAGTGACAGGCAGCCTGGATGCACTTGTTATCTGGTTTCAACAATAAGTCCACTTAACATCTGTCAACTCAATACTTACAAAATTATTTTGTAATGAGAACTTTTAATATCTACTCTCTCAGTAACTCTCAAATATACAGCACAATATTATTAACTATAGTCACCATGCTGTACATTGCATCCCCAGGACTTATCTAGTAAAAGACTAATATGCAAATTGGCCTGTCACTCAAACACACAAGATGGCCACCCCCATGTGGACACAAGATGGCCGGCAGGGGAGGGCAGTTGTGGGCAATCAGCGTCCTGGGAGCTCATGGTCGGACACTGTCAACCTGACCTGATAAATTCCTAACTGGGCAGGACGCTGATGGTGGAGTTCAGAACTGTGGCCCCTCCGGGCAGGCAGCGCTGGATGGGCATGAGGACACTGGCCCTGCCCTGTGTCTGGATTTGGGTGGCTATGGAGGCAAACACGTTACAGACTTCAGAGTGGGACATTTGACCATATCAAGTAGGTTTCAGTAAAGCATTGTTTTTATTATTTTTTAATGCAACATACAAACTTTATTAAACAAAAGTAACAGGTAAAGTCAAGCAGGTACTTATATTTAAGAGAGAAAGTAACTAGATGAAATTTACCTTAAGCACCCTACAGCAGCCTGCTTGTGGTTGCGTTTGCTGGAGCTCTGCTGCTGTGAACACAGCTCACGCACAGGTGTGGGTGAATGATTTGTACACTTTTCAAGTGTTCACTGAAGACTTCCTTGTATACACACAGGCATCAAATTTTAAAACTGACGATCACCAGTATCTTCATTTTTGTTGATCTTGTGGAAGAGGTCGCCTAAGGAGAAGCATTTGTGGTTCTGGCTCATGAATCATGTAATGAACCAGCCAGGACTCTGTTGGACCTCCAGTGTCCTCCACTCCTCTGCTGACATCAGAGGGGTTTGGGTGGGTGTTTGGAAAGTTCTCTGGGGAACCTGACATGCCAGTACTCGCAGTGCTCGTCCAAGCATTTGTCTGAGTGGCAGATCTGCTGTGGGCCATCCTGCAGCAGAGGAGCGGTGCGGAGGGCAGCCACAGGGCGAAGGAGCAGGCACAGGTGTCCACGGCCCGGAGGAAATGACTGGCTGCCCTAAAGCATTGTTTCTAAAAGGTGCTAGCTATTTCCCCTCGTTCCCCTGGGCTGAGAGCCCGCCACTAGGACTCCTCCGGCTCTTCCTGTCCTGCCCCAGGGCGCCCCAGGCGTGTGCGGAGCCTGCAGGAGCTGCTGCGTGTGATCTGCTCCTGAACCCCAGGGTCCCTCCCAGGTGACTCCTCTACAGAGACAGACAGGACTGATGGGCATTTCCAGAACAAGACCCAGAGTCATGTAACACCTTTCACACATGTGAGGGCCCCAAAGGTAAAACCTGCTCCATTGGCAGTAAGTAATGACAATAAGTATGACAGTTCAGGAGTAGGAAGACCCTGGGGCCACAATAAAAATTAAATAAAACTGTCCAATTCTGTGCAGTTTTATAAAGGAGCCTCCTCTGAGGGGACTTGGCGCTGTGGCTCTGAGAGGGCAGGGCGGGGCGAGGATGCGCTCCCGACTCCACTGCGGGGCAGGATGGAGTTATCCCTAGCCCTCACCCAACCAATCAGGGTTAGCCGAGGCAGTGACATCACCACCGACCGGAGTAAAACCCCTGGACTGGGCGAAATTCGCTCTCTTCCGCCATGCTGCCGGCGTGAGTGGGACAGAGCCCCTGCTAGCATGGAAAAGGCTCTTTTGTTTATTGCATTGACTCAGCTCCCTGGTGGTCCTTGGGGATCACGAAGTCTGGGCGGAGGGGGGCAAAGGGCATGGGCCGGCCAGGGCAGTGCGGGCACCAGCCCATCACCCCCCAGTTGGGGCTCTTGGGCACGAATCACACGGACACACAGGGAGGCCCTGCGAGGGTCTGTCCTCTGATAGTGAGCAGTCCGTTCTGACTGTCCTGAGATGGTTATACGGTTATTACCCTTTCTCTGAGTTTATTCTTTATTTTATTTTGAATATTTTTATTTTTATTGATTTCAGACAGGGAGGAGAGAGATGAAACATCAATGACGAGAGAATCATTGATCAGCTGCCTCCTGCATGCCCCCCACTGGGGATGGAGCCCACAACCCAGGCCTGTGCCCTTGACTGGAATCAAACCCAGGACCCTTCAGTCCGCAGGCCAACGCTCTATCCATTGAGCCAAACCAGCCAGGGCTCTGAGGGTGTAGAATACTTCCTGCCCGGGGCCGGCAGGTTGATTCCCGGGAATCCACTCCAGGGCCCCAGCCTACATGGAAAGCCGGCAGAGGCAGAATGAAAGCAGACGCCCTCCCACCTTGTCCCCAGGATCTGGGCAGCTGGGTTTGCTGGTACAATCAGGGCTGATGGAAGGCTGAGGGGAGTAAATGGACACACTTTTTGCTAAGAATAGTGGACGTAATTCCAGAAGAAATAGCTAGAAGAAGGCAAATGGCAGCCTCTGAGCAGGGGGATTCTGGGGGCGGGTCTTGCTGCGGGTTCCCACTTCTGGCTGCGGCCTGTGTCATCACTCCCTGGCGGTGCCCTCCTCGGCCTCAGTGCCCGTCTGCGGCCATGTGCCCTCTGGGCACCTGAACCGGAGAGAAGCTGGGGCTGGGTCCTGCGAGCCCCCAGGGAAGCCCTCCTGTCGCCTCACACCTGTGTAGGTGTCTCCCCTCCCCCATGCCTGATTGGCAGCCGGATGGGGATGAAGAACAGGCCTTCATCTCTCTACCTGTCCCCGTCAGGCTTGCCCAGGGTCCACGCTCCTGTCTTTGCTGGAGTCCTGTCCTGCCCTCGCCCGCTATGCTCCTTCATTTTCATTCATAAACCCCAATCTCCCACAGTCTCCTCAACCCCACAGGGCCCTCATGCCGGCCCCTTCCCAACTCCAGACAGCAACACTTCAAAGCTGGGCTTCCATTTGGTCTCATGTCTTTTACTTTTTCAACAATTTACTGGAATCTTTATTATGCTATTTTTGACTCATTCTCCCCTCCCTGACAATTGGTTTTTGAAAGAGAAATGGGGGGAGAAAGAGAGAAACATCAATGTGAGAAACATTGATCAGCTGCCCCTTCCCGCCAGTCCCCTTGCATGCACCCCAACTGAGGATCAAACCTGAAACCTGGGTATATGCCCTGACTGGGAATCAAACCCACCACCCTTAGGTGCACAGGACTACATTTCAACTGAGCCATACCAGCCAGGACTGACTCATGCTTTTAAACGTACAAAAGAGATCATCCAGTGTCTATGTTTTAAAAATAATAAATGCAATGTCAGTACCACTGAGCGCGGGAGCAGGCCCCTCCCAGGCCTCCTGAGTGAGGAACTGCATTTCCGGTTTTCGGTCACCTTGCTTTTCCGTATAGTTTTACCAAACACACACACACACACACACACACACACACACACTGCTTCGTTTTGCAGTTCTGAACATTATGTGATTGGAATCACACTGCAACTCTGTTGAGATTCGCTGTGTTGGTACAACCTAAGAATGTTTCCTGTTGATGTGTGTGTGTGCTTCATTCTACATATACCATCCATCCTCCTGCCCCAAGGAAATTTTAGGGGCTCCATTTTCTGACTGCTATGACCATGCTACTCTGGCCATGCCCGTGTATTTTTTCCCTTGGTGCACACACGAACAAACTTCTCTAGAACATATACATACATACAAACACACAAGAGTGGAATTGCTGGTGCAATGGCTACTTGCACTCTCGGGGGAGGGGAGAATGAGTCAAAATTAGCATAATAAAAATTATGCTAATAATTAAAAATAAAACTCTCGGGGTTGAGGAGACTGTGGGAGATTTGTGTTTATGAATGAAGATGAACCAGCATAGCGGGAGAGGGCAGGCAGAACTCCAGCAAACACACACACACACACACACACACACACACACACGAGTGGAATTGCTGGCGCAATGGCTACTTACACTCAATCTCACCATTCAATGACACTGTTTCCCAATGCGAAGTGGGCATTGTCGGACATGGTTGTGCTGCTGACAGGTTCAGGGTGTGGCATTGTGGCTCCGTGTTTGCCCGTGGCGCTGTCAGCTGTCGGTATTGCTCCCGCTCATGGCTTGTCCTTCCACTGGGCAAAGAGTTCTTTATTTAATGCAGTCAAATGTACGGCTCTTTCCCTCTGCGGTTACAGCTTTTTGCATCTTGCTTAAGAAATCTTTCTCTGCCCTAGCTGGCTTGGCTGGGTGGATAGAGCATCAGCCTTTGGCCTGAAGGGTCCCAGGTTCAATTCCAGTCAAGGGCACAGGCCCGGGTTGTGGGTCCGATCCCCAATGGGGAGCGTGCAGGAGACAGCCAATCGATGATTCTTTTTCATCACTGATATTTCTACCACTCTCTCCCTCTCCCTTCTTCTCTGAAGTCAATAAAAATATATTTAAAAAATAAAAGAAACTCTTCCCTGACTGAAAGTTATGAATTCTCTTCTAGAAACTTAGTATTGTTTTCCACTAAGGAAAAAAGGTGATTTGTTTAAAATATGGTGTTGGAGGAGAGCTGTACGGATACGTTGGACCACCAGAAAGACGAACAAGTGGGTCTGAGCTAATTAAGCTGGAAACCTTGCTGGAGGCAAAAAAGACGAAACTGAAGCTGTCCTGTGTCCAGTGCATCACGAGAAGGCGGGTTCTCTGGAAAAGACAAAAGTCCTGGGAGAAACAGGAGCAGCAGGGAAAGAGGAAGGCCAGATGTGAGACGGGCTGACTCAGAGGAGCCTCCGCACGCATGCGTCCGCAGGGGCTGAGCAGGGCACTGACAGGACACTGGGCACCACGCACTCACAGGCTGCCAGAACGGCACACAATGCACACACGCACGTCATTTAAACACTCCTCGTGGCCACGTTTCTTAAAAAGTAGAAAAAAACAAAAACAAATGGAATCAATTTGAATACTTTATGTAACCCGATAGATACAAAATGCTATCGCAACATAAAAATTACTGAGACATTTGACATTCTTCTTTTCACAGTAAGTCTTCAAAATCTGGCATATATTTGATGCTTATGGTACATTTCAATTTGGGTGCTATTTTCATCAGAAATACTTAATGCTTGGCTGTCACAAAATTTACCGTGGAAAAGTGAGGCTCCCATACCCACGGGCTCACACGCAGCAGCTCCCCGGGAACTGCTGGCTGTGGGACCTCACGGCTCCAGTCCTGTGCTGGCAGTTCTTCTGGGCACGCTGGGCTGTGCCCAGGTACACCTGTCACCCTGTTCTCAACAAACAGTGCAGACAGAGATAAGCACCAAACATATAGTCACTGAATAAATAAATCAAAACCAATACAATTCAGACTTTTCTCCTGGCTCCTTAGATAACCACTGCTCTAAGAGAATGACACTCTGGGGAGAGGATGGCGTCTCCCGTTCTTCTCAGAGGTCAAGGGGCAAAGGGGTCACTTGTGACCCACTGCCCTCCGCAGACCGCACCTCCCAGGACTGCTGTGTGCTACGCTAGAGGCAGCGGGCTCGTGTGAGATCCGGGATCGTGTTTATAGCTGTTTGCCTTGGGTTACTTTGAACTTGATCAGGACCCTTCCACAGCCACACAGACCTCACCAGGACCAGGCCAGAATGGAACCCGTCCTGCTGACTGGAAATCTGCATGAGGCACTGGAACAGGTGCCCCTTCCCAGCAGCCCCAGGTGTCCGTGAACCAGTCTGGCCTCATCGCCACCCCAGCCTCCAGGCCCCGAGCCCCTCCTCTGTTCCTGAGTTCTTGCCTCTGCTCCCCTCCGTCTGTCCTGCTCCATCTCCCGAACCCGGTCCAACCTGCAAGGCCCGGGCGTTCGTCCCGCCCCTAAGCACCCGACAGCCTGCCCGTTCCTTGCCTCAGCTGCCTTGCTCTTGCGAGTCCATTTGTGTGTGTGATAAACAAGACACAATGTACACATGTTCCCTTCTCCAGGAATGCAACGTTCTCCTGGGCGCAGGGAAAACCCAGGACCAAAGCGGCTCTCCAGGGGGGACAATGGAGTGACCCCACAGACAAGCCACCCTCCCACACAGGCCCTCTCACCGACTGCGGATTATTGGCGCACGTTCCCCTGAAAGAACGAAGCTATTTGCTGAGCTAGCACATAGTTCTAAATCCTGGTGAGTCTTCTACCCCTGGAAAAGGACAATAAAATAAAAAGATCTATGATATTCCATCTGTTTTCCATCTAGCAATCAAAGCGCTCGGACGTAACTTTTACAGACGACCACGGGCAATGCTAGAGCTTATTTGCTCATCTGAGACAGCACAGCCCAGCGAGGAGAGCTTCTGTAAGATGCTCCAGGATCCCCCTCCGCACACTGCCTGGGTTCTTTCAGTGCCGGGGACAGGCAGCCCCGTGAGCTGGCATAACCAGCAGCAAGTCCCAGGGGTGGTCCTGAGAGGCCGGGCCCGAGGAGGTGGCACCGAGCGGAGCAGAGCCACAGCCGCAGGCGCCCGTCTTGGTGGTGGCAGTGGGCAGGGACCCCACCTTGGTGCCTAAAGGAGGGCTCTCAAAGGGGGAGGGGACTCTGTGACCCTAGAAGTACCTTCCCGGGAGGAGGGAGAAAGCCCTCCACTGGCTTAGGGAAAGGGTGCAACACGCTTTGCACAACTTCCTTGCACGAGTACCAGCTCCTGGATTTCCACTGAACAATAAAATGGCACCCGGAGATGCACAGAGACCATCGCTGTGCTCCCCACCGGCCATTCCCGAGGAGCCGGGGAGCAGCTCAGCAGGCCCGTTCCCCGAGCAGTGGGCTCAGGAGCCGTTCCGGTGGCGGTGTGGAAGACACGCCCGGGCTAGCATGCAGTGCAGCAGCACATTATTAAAGCAAAGCAAATGTAAGGCATGAAGTAAGCTTCTGGAACAGTTTATTTCTTCCTAGTCCTGAGAAGGAAAACACTGCAGTGTTAGGTGGGAGCTTGCCCTTCCCTGTCCTGGGCCCTAGCCCAGGGGCTCCTGCAGGCCCTGGCGGGGGGAGGGAGGCTTCATGTCACAGTAGCTGAGGCTGCCGTCCTCCAGCGCGTCGCCCTGAGCGAGGCCGGCGGGGCGGGGCTCCTCGGCGGCTCCGGTGCCGGTCCTCACGCCCGTCCTCTCCAGTGTCGCTCGGAGAAGTTCTCGGATTCTCTGGTTTTCCTTGGAGGTAGACTCCCAAACAACTTCCAGCTCGCCTTCCACGGCTCTGAGGAATCACCAAAACAGGAAAAACCGCACCATTAGGAAATACCTGGAGAGCCTATGAATCCCAAGGTAGCAAGCATCGAATGGAAGTCTGCACAGTTCTGTGCCCCAGCATACGGTCTATCTTTGAGAACGTTTCATACGCACTAAAGAAGAATGTATAGTCTGGTTTGGGATGAAAACTTTGTAAATAACAATTATGTGCAATTGGTCTAATGTGTCATTTAGGGTCAGTATTAATGCCTTATTGATTTTCTATTTGGTTGATCTATCTATAGATGTCAATGGGGAATTTAGGTTCACTACTATAATTGTATTTTTGTCAGCTTCTGCCTTTAGTTCTTTTATTAGTAGTTGTTTTTTTTATATTTTGGTACTCCTTGATTGGTCCATATACCATGTTCCCCGAAAATAAGACATCCTCCGAAAATAAGACCTACTTATTTTCTAAAACTACAGGTTTCCTTCTGAGTGAAATATAAGGCATCCCCCCCGAAAATAAGGCCCCCCTAGGCTAAACATGAGAGATTTGGTCCACTGATTCTGAAAGAAATGGAGTCACAAGAAATTCACCAGGAAATTCAGGAATTGAATTGTTATGATGATGTTCCAGAAGATGATGACATGATTGTCATTGAATAAATGAGTAAATTCACAGTTTGTCTGGTTTGTGTTGACAACTACCGTACTACCGTACCGTATACAGGTAATAAATTTTCTTTATTTTCATTTAACAATAAATGTGTACCGTATTCTTCTTCATGGAAAAATAAGACATCCCCTGAAAATAAGACCTAGCGCATCTTTGGGAACAAAAATTAATATAAGACACTGTCTTATTTTCGGGGAAATAGGGTATGTTGTTATGTCTCCTTATCATTATAAAATGCCCATCTTTGTTTCATTATCTTTTTTAGCTTGAAATATATTTTGTCTGATATAATGGCTATATCCGCTTTTCTCTGATGCCATCTGCTTTAGAGCAAGCATGTCAAACTTGCAGCTGGTGGGCCACATGCCTCGTTCTTTGGAGTATCATTTTCCATCCTTTCCCTTTGAGTCTGTTTGTCCTTGCAGCTGAGATGTGTCTCCTGAAGGCAGCAGACAGTTGGATTTTGTTCTGTAACCCATCCTGCCACTGTGTGTGTGTGTGTGTGTGTGTGTTAATCTTCACCAGAGGATATTTTCCCCATTGCTATCAGGGAGAACGAAAAGGAAGGAGAAAAGGGAGAAACATCGATGTGAGAGAGAGATATCAATTTGTGGCTTCCTACATAAGCCCTGACTAGGGCCGGGATAAAACCTGCAACTGAAGCATATGCCCTTATCAGGAATTGAACCTGCAACCTTTCGGTGCCTGGGATGACACTCTAACTATTGAGCAACAGTATCCAGGACAAGATGGACCTTTAAAAAAAGTGACAAAAGATACCATAACAGCCAAGACGAAACAGAGAAGACAATGGAATATGCTGAGAGAAAAAGCCTGTTGATGTAGAAATCTATACTCAGCAAAAATCATCTTACAAGACTGGGGTCAAAATCCAGTGTTTTCAGATAAGCAAAACTAAGAAAGCTTACTACCAATATCCTCTCACTAAATAATGTATTTTAGGAAGAAGAAAACTAATCTAAGAAAAAACTATTCTGAGATGTAAGAAAGAATATGTTAAAAGATTAATTAAGGCATATTTTTGAGTTTTGGTTTTTTTTTAAATCAATTCAAATTGGGCAGTATCCAATTAGCAGATAGAAAGGAGCTCTTGTGAGCTATATAAAATAAAGGATTTTACAGGTAGAAGAGAGCAGAAATAAGGAAGTTAAATGCACCTGGTTATTGGAAGGAGGCCTAATTAGGTAGATTACATAACTAGTGCTAATCAGGTGATTCCTACATGACTGATTTAAGACTCCATTTCGGCAAGAGCTGAAATTGTACATTTAGACTTTAATGGAATTGTGGGGCTTAGTATAAGCAATTCCATTTTGGGCTAGTTGTCTTGATTTTAACAATTATTAAGCAAAAAAATTGGTCAACTGCAGGTATATAAAAATAAACTATATATAAATAGTATTTAATTTGGGATGGATAAAAATAATGATATAAAAAGACATATCTAATGATACTAGATAAAGCATATAAACCAAAGGGGAAATCATTAGAGCTTGCATTTGGGGGGAAGAAATGTAGGTATGCTGATTAAATATATTTTTTAATGTTAAATATCTAGGGTGGAAGTTCAAGAGTAACTACTCAAAAAATATATAAATTTTAAATAACTAAAGGCAAAAAATGGAATGAGGATAAAGTTCCATTCTACTAATGGAATTCTTTTATTCTTTTTAAAAATATATATTTTATTGATTTTTTACAGAGAGGAAGGGCAAGGGATAGATAGTTAGAAATATAGATGAGAGAGAAACATCAATCAGCTGCCTCCTGCAGCCCCCCCCCCCCCCCCCCCCCCAACACACACACACTGAGCCAAACCAGTTTTGGCCTACTAATGGAATTCTAAGCCTCCTGTTTGGCAAGAAAGCTGGTATTGGTTCAACTTTTTACAAAGTGACTATTTAGATAGATAAGAACTTCTGTGACTACAGAAATCATGTAGATAAGACTTCATTCTGCTTGGCACTATAAGCATCTGGCTGATGGGAAACAGATAACTGCATTCTGCATGACATCAAATTCATGGATCCTACTAAAACTTGAAGAAAGTCATATCAGAGAGTCCTTCTTCTGCAGGCATCAGTTTATATTCGTCTGTCAAAGGCAACACAGCCATTATGAAAGGGTGGGCTTAAGTGTGAACCAAGTTCACCTTCACATAGCCTGCGATATTCCCCAATGTTTGTTTTTTTTTTAAATAACGTCTTTTTCATTTGGAACAATAAAAGACCCCGAATAGCCACAGCAATCCTGAGAAAGAAGAGTAAAGTAGGAAGGATCTCAATACCAGATTTCAAGCTGTATTACAAAGCCACTGTTCTCAAAACAGCCTGGTACTGACACAAGTACAGACATATAGATCAATGGAGTAGAACTGAGAATCCAGATATCAACCCAAATCACTATGCTCAACTAATATTTGACAAAGGAGGCACGAATATACAATGGAGTCAAGACAGTCTCTTCAATAAATGGAGTTGGGAAAATTGGACAGATACATGCAAAAGAATGAAACTAGATCACCAACTTACACCATACACAAAAATAAACTAAAAATGGATACAGGTCTTAAACATCAGACGGAAAACCATAAAAATACTAGAAGCATCCACAGGCAGCAAAATCTCAGACATATGCCAAAAGAACTTCTTCACTGATACTGCCCCTAGGGCAATGGAAGCTAAAGAGAAAAGAAACAAATGGGACTACATCAAAATAAAAAGCTTTTTTATAGCAAAAGAAACCATCAACAAAACAACAAGAAAGCCCACTGTATGGGAGAACATATTTGCAAATGTTACCACTAATAAAGGTTTAATCTCCAACATCTACAAACAGCTTATACAACTAAATAAAAGGAAGATGAATGATCCAATTAAAAATGGGCAATGGACCTAAACAGAATATTTTCAAAAGAAGACAGAAGAAAGGCCAAAAGGCACATGAAAGCATGCTCAAAGTCACTAAATATCTGAGAGATGCAAATCAAAACAACAATGCGGTACCATCTCACACCTGTCAGAATGGCCAACATCAACAAATCAACAAATGACAAGTGTTTGCGAGGTTGCGGAGAAAAAGGAACCCTCATGCACTGCTGGTGGGAATGTAGACTGGTGCAGCCACTGTGGAGAACAGTATGGAGTTTCCTCAAAAAACTGAAAATGGAACTCTCATTTGACCCAGTAATCCCACTCCTAGGATTATATCCCAAGAAGCTATTATAGAAACACCAATCAGAAAGGATATATGCACCCCTATGTTCATAGCAGCACAATCTACAATAGCTAGGATTTGGAAAAAGCCTAGGTGCCCGTCAACAGATGATTGGATCAGAAAACTATGGTACATCTATACAATGGAATACTATGCTGCCATAAAAAAAGAAGTAATTCTCATCATTTGCAGCAACCTGGATGGAATTGGAGAACATCATGCTGAGTGAAATAAGCCAGTCAATGAAAGAGAAACACCACATGACCTCACTCATTTATGGATAATAAAAAACATTATAAACTGATGAACCAAAAGATAGATATAGAGACAGTAAAGCAACAAGCAGACTGTCAAATTACAGTGGGGAGGGTAGGGAGATCTGGGGGAGATAACAGATCAACCAAAGGACTTGTATACATGCATATAAGTACAACCAATGGACACAAAACTCTGGGAAGGGAGGGTATGTATGGGAGGGTGAGCAATGGTAAGATGTACACAGATAATAATTTAATTTAAAAAATTTTAAAAAAACAAAAACAAAAAAAAATAACAACAACAAAAATATGTCTTTATTGCTTTCAGAGAGGAAGAGAGAGGGAGAGAGAGTTAGAATCATCGACGAGAGAGAAACATTGATCAGCTGCCTCCTGCACATCTCCCTACAGGGGATGTGCCGGTAACCAAGGTACATGCCCTTGACTGGAATCGAACCTGGGACCTTTCAGTTTCCAGACCGATGCTCTATCCACTGAGCCAAACTGGTTAGGGCTGTATACATGTATTAAGTCGTCACATTGTACACCTTAAACTTACTCAATGTTACATGTCAATTGCTGGGGAGATTTAAAAAAAGAAAACAGCAAGGAGCAAATAAAAATCAAGAGCAACATTAAATTCTGATAAGACCAAATACAAAAGCAAAAGTAAGTAATTAAATAAACAAAACAGATCTAGAGGGTTTTATTGGAAAATTCTACCAACATCCAAAACACACACATGACACGGGGGCGGCCCTACCTTTTCTGCTGCAGCGCCTCATCCAGGACGTCCTGCTTGTCCTGCAGCATCCGCTGGAGGTGCCGCATCTCCTGCTGGTACTGCGCTGTCTTGCTAGCAAAGTCCTCCTGCTGCTCTGACAGACAGTGACTGATGTCCTCCAGCTTCAGTGCAGCCAGCTTCTTGTACCCCTGGTGGAGGAGGAGGGCGCTGTGAGGGAGGGAGGCTGCTCGCTGCCCAGGCCGAAGCCTCGGATGCATTCCAGACCTACCTCCGTGTGCTGTCAGAGACCAGTGAGCTGAGTGAGCCCTGCAAAGGTCTGATATGGAAGGACAAGTCTGGATCATAAAGGTCATATAAAGTAACAAAAAATTTCAAGTATAATAAAACCAAATTTCTAATTTATATCATGCTGTAAATTATTTTTATATATTATAAATAAAATTAAAACAGAAGGTTCTGGCATACTCTGAGATGACTGAGATAAAGGACTAATTCATTTTCCTTCTCACATTTTAAAAAAATATTTTTATTGATTTCAGATAGGAAGGGAGAGAGATGAGAGGGAATCATTGACCGGCTGCCTCTTTTTTTTTTTTTTTTTTTTTAAATATATTTTATTGATTTTTTTACAGAGAGGAAGAGAGAGGGATAGAGAGCTAGAAACATCGATGAGAGAGAGTCATCGATCAGCTGCCTCTTGCTCACCCCCCACTGGGGATGTGCCCGCAACCAATGTACATGCCCTTGACCGGAATCGAACCCGGGACCTTTCAGTCCGCAGGCCGACGCTCTATCCACTGACCAAACTGGTTTCAGTGACTGGCTGCCTCTTGCACGCTCCCCACTGGGGATCGAGCTTGCAACCCAAGCATGTGCCCCTGACCAGAATGGAACCCGAGACCCTTCAGTCCCCAGGCTGATGCTCTATCACAGGCGTCCTCAAACTTTTTAAAGTGGGGGCCAGATCACGGTCCCTCAGAGAGCTGGAGGGCCGGACTATATGAACTACTGATTCCTACTGTAACACCTCGGCTGCGCTCACTGCCCAAAAAACCTGGCGGGCCGTAGTTTGAAGACGCCTGCAGCCAAACCAGCGAGGGGGTCCTTCTTACATTTCTGTGCATAAAATTTAAGGTTATGAATTTCCTTCTGAGCATTTCTAAAACTTTGTCACATATAGTCTGACTAATGGTATAGTTTACCTAGATGAAATTCTCTTTGGAAGTTATGACATTCTGGAAGGCAGTCCAAGATGGTAGCGTAGGAGGGCTCTAAGCTCACCCCTCTGGAGGACACATTAAATTTACATCTATATAATCAGCCATTCCTCAGGCGACATCTAAGTGCCAGCTGAAGCAGCTTCTGCACAAACAGGAAGACTATACAGAGAAGGCTGAGAGCTGCGAGTGCCCTGTTGGCGCTGAGGGGATTGTCCAGATGGAGGAACTGGTGAGCACCACTGTTTACAATTCTCCTGCACTTGGATGGGGCGGGCGCTTTATCTCAGTTTTCTGGCCGAGCTGCAGGGGTGCAGAGGCGCATCCCCAGCCACCCCTCCCAGAACTAGATCCAGCAGGAGGGCAGCACCCAGCCTATGTAAATGGGCCCTTTCAGCTGGAGATGGACCTGGTGGGTGTGGCAGGTGCAGCAGCATGCATCTGCTGAGCTGCACGCGGACACCCCCTGCCCAGGGTGTGGAACCAGCAAAATGCTGTGCCCGTACGCAAGGCTGTCCTATTGAGAGAAAGTTCAGAAACAGTGGGGAGCAGCTGCGTGCACATGTGGGGCTGCTGTGCCCAGAGAAAGTGTGGGGACACTGGGGCTCTGCAACCCATGCACTCAGAGTAGCCCTGCCCAGATCAGGTTCAAACAACAGACAATTAAAGTAACAGGGCACATTGCCCACATACTGGGCAGTGCAACCCTCACAGCATAGCCCCACCCAGAGCAAAAGGGCAAGGAAACACACTAGGTTGCCCTGCCCAGAGCCCATTCCTTTTGCCATGTGCCTTGCTCGACTATAACTGTCCTCCAGAAACATCTGGCACACAGATTGAGAAAAAGCTATTTCATCCAACTCATAGGAACAAACACAGAAAGTCAAACAAAATGGGGAGAGGAAGAATATGTCCCAAATGAAGAAACAATTAAAAAATCCAGAGAAAAACTCTGATAAAATGGAGATAACTCATTTGTCTGAAAAGAATTCTAAGAAATGGTTGTAGGGATGCTCAATAAGCTTGAAAGTAGAATAGAGAAACTCAGAGAACATTTCTTTTCTTTTTTTTTTTTTAATATATTTTATTGATTTTGTAAGAGAGGAAGGGAGAGAGATAGTTAGAAACATCGATGAGAGAGAGTCATCGATCAGCTGCCTCTTGCACACCCCCTACTGGGGATATGCCCACAACCAAGGTACATGCCCTTGACCGGAATCTAACCCGGGACCTTTCAGTCCCCAAGCCGACGCTCTATCCATTGAGCCAAACCGGTTTTTAACCTTTCAGTCCCCAAACATTTCTAACAAAGGGTTAGAAAATATAATAAAGAACCAATAATAAATAAAAATAACTGAAATGAAGAATACGTTAGAAGGAACAGAAATCAGATTAGTTAATACAGAAGAATGGATTAGCAACCCAGAAGACAGAATAGCAGAAATCACTCAATTAGAACAGCAAAATGAAAAAAATAATTTTATTAGAGAGAGAGAGAGAGAGAGAGAGAGAGAGAGAGAGAGAGAGAGAAAAACATCAATGATGAGAGAGAATCATCAATTGGTTGTCTCCTGCAGGCCCTACACTGGGGATCAAGCCCAAAACCCAGGCATATGTCCTGAATAGGGATTGAACCATGACCTCCTGGTTCACAGGTTGATGCTCAATCACTGAACCATGCCAGCCGGGCCGAAAAAAAGAAAAGAAAAAAAAATAAATAAATAAAAAGGGGGAGAGAGAGAGAGAGAGAGCGAGAGAGCGAGAGAGAGAGAGAGAGAGAGAGAGAGAGAGAGAGAGAGAATAAGAGATTTCTGGGACATTAAATGCCCTAACATCCACATTCAGTGATTCCAGTGGGAGAAGAGTGAAAGAAAGGGGCAGAAAGTATATTTGAATAAGTAATGTCTGAGAACGTCCCTAATCTGGGAAAGGAAACACGTTCAGGTCCAGGAAGCACAGAGTTCCAAACAAGATGAACCCACAGAGACACACTGTAATCAAACCAAGACACACTAATTAAAATGGCAAAGGTTACGCGAATAAAGAGACAAGAGACAGGCAAGAAGGAAACAAGGGAAATCCCATGAAGTTATTAGCTGATTTCTCAGAAGCAAGTTTACAGGCGAGGGAGTGGCAGAAAATATTTATAGTGCTAAAAGAACAGAACCAATGACCTAGAATCTGGCCAGGTTATCATTTCGAATTGAAGGAGAGATAAAGAGTTTCCCAACTCCCAGAAAACTAAAGGAGTTCACCACCACTAAACCAGCTTTACAAGAAATGTCAAAGGTCTTCATTTGCAGGAAAGAAACGGTACAACCAGAAATAAGGAAATACAGGAAAGAAAAATTCTCACTGGCAAAAGCAAATATACAATAAACACAGTGAATCAATCACTTAAAATGCTAATATGAAGGTTAAAAGACAATGTAGCAAAATTAATTATAACCACAATAGTCAAGGGATACAAAAGACAAGAAAAACATGATGTCCAAAACAGAGTGGAGGGGGGAGTAAAACTGTAGTGCATTTTGGATGCATATGAATTTAAACACCTATCAGCTTAAAATACTGTCATATATATACTAGAGGCCCGGTGCATTCATACACTAGGGGGAGGGGGGTATCCCTCAGCCCAGTCTAGGACCCTTTGCTCCTTACCTCCCACCTGCAGTGGAGGTAGAAGAGGCTCCAGCCACCACTGTGGGCTTGCCAGTTGTGAGCCTGGCCTCTGGCTAAGGGCTGTTCTCCCTGTGGGAGTGCACTGACAACCAGGAACCAGCCTGTGGGTTGAGCGTCTGCCCCCTGGTGGTAAACGCATATCATGACCAGTTCCACTGTTCAGTCGCTTTGCATATTAGGGTTTTATTATATAGGACTATTGGCCCGGTATATGAAATTCATGCACAGGGGAGGGGGTGTCCCTCAGCCAGCCTGCACACTCTCCAATCTGGGACCCCTTGAAGAATGTCCTACTGCTGGTTTACAGGGATTGGGCCTAAACCAGCAGCCAGACATCCCTCTTGCTAGCTCCTAATTGCTCACCCGCTGCCTGCCTGCCTGATTGCCCCTAACCACTCTGCCTTGCTGGCCTGCTCACCCCCAACTGACTGCTGTGCTCAAGTGCTCACCCTCAACTGCCCCCCCTGCTGGCCTGGTAGCTCCCACCTTCCCTCCCCACTGGCCTGCTCGCCCCCAACTGCCCCCCTGCTGGCCTGCTCACTCCAAACTGTACCACCCCCATCCCTCCCCCATCCTGATCACCTCCAACTGACCACCACTGATGGCCTGCTTGTCCCAACTGGCCTCCCTGCTGGTCTGCTTACCCCCAACGGCCCTGCCTGATCACCCACAACTGCCGTCCTATCCTGGCCTGATCACCCAAACTGCCCTCCCCTCTTGGCCTCTAACGGTCTCTACCTTGGCCCCACCGCCATGGCTTTGTCTAGAAGAACATCCGTAAGGTCTCCTAGAAGATCTCCCAGTTTAATTAGCATATAGATAGAGGCCTGGTGCACAGGCGGGGGCCGGATGGTTTGCGCTGAAGGGTGTCCTGGATCAGGGTGGAGGTCCCCATTGGGATGCCTGGCCAGCCCAGGCAAGGGACTGAGAGCTGTTTTCAGGCTGGCCATGCCCACGTCCCCCCTTCTGTCTCCCCCCACCCCCTGCAACCCAAGCTCCCAGCCCCTCTTTTCTTTTTTTTTCTTTTTTAGCACCTCCTTGAGCAGAGGCTAGAGCTGGCTGAAGCAGGTATCTGGGATTTATTTATCTTCTATAATTGAAACTTCGTAGCCTTGAGTGGAGGCTAGGCCTGGCCAGGGAAGGCAGGAAGCTTGGCTTCCTCCATTGTGGGGGGTAAACCCAAGCTTCCTGCTTGCTCCAGCTCCATGGCAGCTGCCATCTTAGTTGGGTTAATATGCATACTCGCTTCTGATTGGCTGGTGAGTGTAGTGGAGTGATGGTCAATTTGC